TACGCAACACAGTCACTCTTGTTCTACCCTTCTACTCTTCCTCAAGATATATTAGCATCGGGTATTACATGTGACATGACGGATGGCACAATGCAGCTGGTTTCCTTCTTAGCAATAGTATATGAGAAAAGAGTGATTCTTCCAGTGTACCCTAAATTATAGATAGTCCAAGCCTTAAACTCCTCTTCACCGGTCAAACCCGTTTCCATGGGAGGCCATTTCACCTCACCACGAGAAGATGAGAGTTTCGACACATCTATACTCCCCCAACAACATAGTCCATCACCCCAAACAATTACAGAAAGTAGTTCAAGTGTTAAGGAAAGGCCTGTTTTCTACCATTGCTTAAAGTGTCCGCGGCATAGGAACTAAGGTTTCGCTAGCAGCCACAAATAACGCGCCGCTTTCCCTACGTTTCTCTTCTCATTAATAATTGAAATATATTTCCCGTTCCCAGTGATATAAAGGACTTAAATTACCAGCATGAATGTCGTTTTGTTTCTCTTTTTTTTATTTTAGTAACAAAACATCCGTTACTTGTCCTGAATTTGCTTCGATCCCACATTTAATTCTACGAAAGTGGAACTTGGAGCGAGTTGATCTTCGAGAGTTTGTTTGATTTCGTCTTCCGAGTACGATCTTTTGATTGCTGTTCATGCTAGGAAAGTGCATGTATGGTACGAGATCGATCCTTATTTACAAGAAATATGTATAATAGTAATCTGCCGTCATTCCCTATGAAAATAAAATCGTGTTAAAACGCTACCAAATAAGTCAAGTCCTCATTGAAGTATTTAAGGGCAACATCGATCAATATACTTTGAATTAAAGATCGCGTAGGGTTAATCCGAAAGTGAAATGATTTACATACCTATAAGACGCGTTAATTAATTGTGTTATACAGCGTTACTAAATGAATTTGCGGTATTCACTATTTATGTGATCAAAATCTAGAAAATACTAGAAAAGTATTAGTAAATAATGAGTGAATACCTTGAACATACTGACGAGCTCCATCCTAGCAATAACGGAACATTTTTCTAGTCTTGACATACTCCAGCCTTCGTAGAGGTGAAATTATAAAAAGATTTTTCCTGCAAGATCACCTTTTAAGTAAATTTGAACAAATGAAGATAACTTGATGCATCCTAGACGCGTATGCTCTCACTGTTCACTTTTTCGATTGTCTACACTTGACGAATATTCCACTTGCACGTCAGCAATTTATCAATTTCAAATAAAGTCCATCCCGTAAACTATTCCCTAAACAATACCGGTTCGAGCCAAATTCCGGGTAATAGCTTATGTCTTGCATATATAATACAATCGAACGACCTCTTATTTGATTATAGCAAATTTCTCCAAACGACACAATCTAAAACATGTTTACCGCATTTTGCAGGTTCTTTTTATACCCACCACTGTAAAATAGGAGTATATTCATTTTGTTTTTTTTCCAAAATATATGTAATACCAAAAGGCAGCTTAAGAGACCCTACAAAGTATATATATATTCTTGGTCAACGTGAAATTCTGAGTTGATTTAGCCATGTCCGCCTGTCTGTGCGTCTGCACTACACTGAGTTTCAGGTTCATTCTAAGGAAACTCGTCAAGAATCTCTTCATAGAATTTTGATTTTTATCTTAATTTTCAACTACATATACATAATTGCATACTCTTCGATCTGTACAATAATTAACTTTTGTCTATATGTATATATAAATCTTATATGAAATTTGAAAGCTCAACTTTTTATGCTCACAAATAATAAACGTTTCATAAAAATTTGATTAACTATCGTTTTCTGCAAATATCGAAAACTGCAAATTTTTGTGGCAGTTAAAGTGTTAATTCATAAACCATTGCGGAGGAAAGCATAAACAAACGGTTTGTGCACATGCTATGAAATAATGCCGCCTAGACACGCTACAGTTGTTTAAGCTAAGCTATTGTTGTAAAGAGGGCAGCACATCAGCAGACTAACTTTAAAGATTTGTAAAACGTAAAGTATCACAAAACCTACTATTGAATCTCGAGAGGTGATATATATATATATTCAAAAATTACACATATTTTCGTTGAGTATCAATTTCCGAATGATCAGTCTATGAGCATGGATATAATAAATAGTGTCTAGACAGCAAATATGACGAAACTTTGGCCTAGTCTTTATATGCTAGCTTTTATATGCACTAAATTCGTTAAATACGCGTAATGTATAGAAATATTCGTGAAAAATGCCATTGCATGTATGTTTTCTTGATCAACATAAACACCGGAATTAATTTTATTGTGTCTGTCTGTCAGTACATCAAGGATATATTCATTCCCCTTGTGTCATTCAAAAATAAGCTTCAGAGGCCCCGCATAGTATATATATGTTCAAAATCCACATCAAATTCTGAATAGATTTAAGTATATCCGGTAATATCTGTTTAAAACGTTATCCTGCTCGCAAAAATGAAGCTATTATAGTTAAATAAATCCCACCGTAATGGAAGGTTTATCCTGAGCTAATTCTTAATTATTATTAACATAACAAAAATTAGCTCCTTTCATATTCTTTATCTAACTTATTAATTGTTAGAGTAATAACTTCAGCTTTAGTTGGAGCTAATGGAGTGTTAAACCAAGCATTAATTATAATAAATGGACTTACCTGAGTTCTGTTGAGTGGATTGTTTCGAATAGTTTTATTTCGATGTATAGAGTTTCTGGCAGGTGAAAGGTTTTGAATAGTACTTTAAACTTTTTTTATTTACAGATTATTAGGTTTTTTTCCAATTGCTGGTTTTTTCTCAGTCGATTCTTTCAAATTCGTCCGCACAGAATATGTATAGTTTAATATCACTTGGATTTTTTTCCAATTAAGATATCAACTCCAAACTTGTTGAGAATTCTCGTAAACAGCTTGACACTGACAATGGGCCAAGCTGTTCACAGTACAACATTAAGTGAGAATTGGAAAAAGAGAACGGTTGAGCTTTTTGCTCGTTACTCATAAACTACGATAACAATTTGCTAACATATTTCATGGGTTATCCTACAGTGTCTTTAAATAAACAAATCAATGACGCCAGTCCATTATTTTGGATGATTGAAGTTTTACCTTTTTCGTTGTTTTCAAAATTTTTTTTTATTTTTTTTTTAAATAAAGTTATTCATTATAACTTGAAATTGAAAGAAATTAAATCCTTCTTCAGAGCTCCATAACAATTGGAAAATGTAAACTTAGGAGTAATACCTGGAAACCAAATGGCAAAAATATTCAACACACACACAACTACATACAATAAAAGAAGAGCAGAAAGAAAACATTTTTTTTCCTTTGCAATCGCACTATCGCTGAAATGGATTCCGATTATAAGCAAAGCAATGTTATTTCACTGATCGCCAGCCAGAACAGACATACACTATAGAACATTCAAGTGTTTATTTATTGTGGAGTTAGCAACAGATGTATTCACGCCAAAGTCACTCAAAGCGTGGTTTTCATTACACGGCCTTCTTTTGCATGATCAAAATTTATCGAATAGTTTTACTTACATTATTTGCTCACTAGTTTAAGAAACGTGAAATTTGATAGTTTATATTCGAAGGCTTTGGATTAACTCGTGCAAATTTGTTTTCATAAAATAATCAACGAAGGCATTTTAAGAAAAGCAATCGTGAGATACGGGCATTTTTTGACCATAGAATTCTTCACTTATCGTACAAGAGAGTATCGGTGCAAGGTCAGCTTCGTTCAAAGGCAACAATCATTCATAAACTTCACATTCTTCCTATTAACATTTAAAGCTTCTCCCATGAAGCTATTTACTTCCCTATTTATTTGTTTGCGTACCAATGTGCCAAGATGTTAGACTCTGCTGAATGTCGTATCAGTCAATAAGTCTCCGGTCTGAGACACGTATGGCAACACAGTTGACAAGCTCCCATGATTTCTGGTTAGTGCCAAACTTCAAACGAAACATGTCAAAATTTTAGTTAAGTGAAGTTGCTTTTCTTATTTTTGAAACTCTCTGGAATTTCTTTTTTTGATTAAATTTTGCTTTTCGTTAAGAAAAACTATCGTTAACAGTCACGATTGCCTTGGAGACTCTGAGTTGTCACACAAGTAAATGTGCGAATGGTTTGCTAATTTCAACCAAAATCAGGTGGACACCGACGATGCTGAACGCCCCGGCCAAGGTAGTTCGATGCAAATGTTCACAGTGTAGCTTTGAAAAACCGAAAAGCGAGGTAGCCGACACTCTAAAGATATAAAAGGCAGCCTATCCATCCACTCTTGAAATATTTGCCACGTTTGCTCACTTTTGATCAAAGTGAACAACTTGTTCGAATCGTTTAAGTGAAATGAAAAAGAGGTTTTTCACGCATATGGATGAGACATGAAATCCTCATTAGATTACAAAAGGCATTTAATCCAGTGAACTTTAATCGGCGAAAATCGTCCAAAGCGACTAAAAAGGCAAAAGTCGATTGGGAAGGTTAATCCGCCCGGATTTCATCAACAATTTTGAAAAGATACAGGGCATCAATAGTGAATATTATGTAGCATTAGAAGTACATTTGCGTAAAGAAATTACAATAAAACACCTAATAAGACCAGAGACTTATTGAGTGAAGTGATATTTAACTTAATACATATACACATATCTAATAATGTATTGAATGAATATTCGCCTGAAGGTAAATTTCTACTCTGCTTACACACATATAAGTTGTTTAAGTTAAATACAAAAAAAAAGCTAATGAGAAGAAACTTTTAAATCAAGCGAAGAAAAAAAGCTTTTAAAAAAACTTTTATCAGAAATGGTCAACTTTCAAATCACTTGCTTTATTTATGACCGATATTCTTAGAGATCCAAAACAAAGATCATTTATTTTAATTTATTTTGTTTTATATCAACGATACAGGTTTTCGCGATTGCCGAGCAAAATAAAAGAATTACTTTTGAACTTTCCGTTTGTCATGTGCAAGCAAAAAAGGTTTCGCTTAATCAATACTTAATTTGCGAAAAGAACCTTCAATACCGAGTAAAGTCTCTGTAGATATTCGTTTTTCCAATCGTAAATGTTCGGTTACTCCATATTGATCATCTTCCTTAAAATAATCATTAAATGCTAACAAGTCTTTTTCCGTTTGAGCTATGATTTCCTCTATAGAACTATTAGTTCCGCCATATTCCGCTGGCAAGTGTTCCTTACCAATATGTTTGCTTAAATCGTCGAAAGTTTTATGCACATGAATCTAGATAAACATTTAAAGACAATGATTTCATATGCTGTATATGTGTATAAAATAAAAAGAAAGGAAACTCACTTTCATTGGAAGTTTCTCGTTTAAGCAACTAATGGTTAAACTAATTAACGTTAAAGCTTCTTTGGGACAATTAATTAGATGAAGTTCTTTTAGACGTCCAGGTGCTCCTTTTTCAAGAAACATTCGACCTTTCTTCAGTACATTCAAATCGAAATGAGCGATATGTGATAGGCCGACATCCGACAAATCAATAATACCCACATAGCCACTGATGATTACGTTGTCATCGTTATTAACCAACCAGTCCATTATTATGAATTGATATTTAACTAAATCCGTTATAGTATATCGCTTGAAATCAAATTTCGCATAACGAGATAAGCATATTGTTGGTGCAGCCGTATTTGAAAATACAGGAAAGCGTATATAAAAGCTAGATTATGAATTATGACTAATTATTTAAATTATACTCGAATCTCTATGCACACTTTAAAACTTACCCCGTACGTAATATGTTTAACCATTTTTCGTCAATGACTTTATTGCAACAATATTCCGGCATTAAAGTTTTAAATGTATAAAAATAGTCTATCTTCGATTTAGCTTTTTCGAGACTATATTTACTACCGCGTAGAAAAGCGACAAGAAATTGATCGTCTGTTCGTGCTCTCAAATGTCGCTGCTTATGAATCCAATCTCTAAGGGCTTCTATATTATCACCAATGCAATCTTCTATTTCATTTAATTCTTCTTTAGCTACTTTTTGTAATTCATCACATAGCGATCTTATATTTGGTTTAGACATTATGCGATTTTTATATTAAGATATTTGAAGATCAACTTTTCAAATCACACTGACTATGACTATTTTTTCCCAAATCAAGTTAATTAATTTTGATTTTAAACGCCAAAAATAAAAAATAAAACTTAACAGTAAACAGGTTAGAATGTTATACTTCAGATGTTTTTAAACATTTTTTTTTTTAAGTGATTCTCGATGAATCTAAATATATAATGTTGCGCTTTTTATACAATTTTCACTCAAATCTCTTAAATTACAAATGCACACAAACGTGTGAGCAGAAATTCGTTTTATTTGAATTTTTTTTGGAAAGATGTAAAAGCATCGACAGCTAGCGATGGCACTGCTTCCTGGCATATCGTGGTTCCCACAGCGAAAAAAAACTGCACCGGTTATCTTTTTCCTTATTTACGAAAATTATTAGGTGCTTGCATGTATTTTGATCATTTTTTCGCTTGAGAAAAATTTGTAGGATATATATCAATCAAAATATTCTCCATCGTTTTTTATAACATTTTCCCAGACTTGGCAACTCTGCTTACGTGCATTGCTCTTGTTTTTTTTACTTTGTGCGTAAAAATTTTGTAATTGTTTTTTATTTTATTCGTTTAAACGTTATTCGTTTTTAAAGCCTAAACAATTATAAAATTGTTACATAAATTCTTATATATACTGAAGTATATTGAACTTTGCTTTTAATTTATAGTCAGCGTATTGCTCTGTATGTTAATATCATTTTGATTTTTTTGATCAACACTTGGCGCTGTCGTCAAAAAGCGTCTTGTTCTTGCTTTTTCGAATAGTTTATTTGCGATATGTCGGTATTGGCTTTGTGAGCGTTGCTGTCGCGCGAAATGTGCAGATCTTACTGACCGCGTTGCACACGCAATTCTGGTTGCATTGAAACGATTAAATGGTCATGTCCCAAGTGTCGGAAGCGGGTCATAGATTTCTTTAAACTTTTCATGGAGACAAAGAATAGTTTTTCTCAAATATGCAAGAAACTCGTGTGGGAAATTTGAAAAAATTAAAACGACGTTCGATGAGTGTAGAGCACTTATCTCTTCCTCCAAGTGTAAAAAAACAACTTGTAGTGTGACTAGGAGTTCTTCACCTCCAGCTTCGCAGACATGTGCCCATGTTGGTCTATCCCCTGCCCTACCAGCGTCGACGGTACTTTTGAGGCTGTCATCATGAGGTCCGATGGACGTATCGAGTGCTTCAAAGGAAACTTTAAAGGAGAAAAGGTGTCTCCTGCTGATAGTCACATTCAACCCAAGCCTCAGAAAAATATAACAAAAATAATAAATCTTCCTCTCCCCATAGCCCAGGTTGAACAGCTGCAGAGCTCCAAGTTGCACAAACGAGCGGTGTCTCTCCTTCTGTTTTTTCCCATCTCAAAATTGTCAACCCTTGACTCTTAATGCTCCAAATACTAGTCTTTCTAATACGAATGTGGCCTTCTTCCGGCTCAGAAAAAAACATTTGTATCAAGACTGACACCGGACACCTCGAGTGATAACATAAATCATAACATATATCATCAGCGTGATTATCTCGCTATAAAAGCCCCATCTGTTAATCTTAGCCGTGTTCATAATTTTAAATTACGCTCGTTTCCACTGCTAGAAGTATTAAAATCCTAATATCCTCTTTGTATGAAGTATTAAACCTACCTATGATCAAAACGCTTGTCCACCGTGGTTCGAAAAAGTATTTAAATACCATAAAAATAAGAAAAACAAACTTTTCAAAAAATACATGAGAAGTGGATCTGTCACGACTATTTCGTTTAATATTCGATGAGGCATAGATTCAACTATTACAATCATCAAATTTGTCGTAATTATCTTCATAGGGTAAAACCCTCACGATTCTTAGTTACCCTAAATACTTTTATAAATTCGTCAACTCTAAAAGGAGAATATCCCCCCTCCGTCTTTCTTAATGGCTCCGAATCCACTGGTGACATTAAAATCTCTAGCCTCTTTGTCAAATATTTCTATCGAATTTTCTCTATTGCTAGTTCCTATTTAACTGGTAATTACACATATCAAATCATAAACTCGAACCCGATTCCGTATTTAATCATTTCAGATCTCGACGTATTGCAAGATTTAAGGTTAATTAAATGTAGTTCTGTGCATAGGTCTGACGGCATTCCATCATCTATACTCGAATCGTGCTCTGAGCACTTATGTATTGCCATCTCAAGTAGTTTTAATCTTTCTTTGAAAAGCCCAGGTGTTTTCTTTTGTGTTATAAAAACGTGTTCCTTATTCCAATTCACAGAGGTGGAAGCAGATTTCTATCTGGTGGAGGACTTTTAAGGCATTGCCAAATGAACTTCTTATCCAAATTGTTTGAAAGAATTCTTACTCAGCAAATAGCTTTCGTTATCAAATCTTATGTTGCTACATTTCAGCATGGTTTCATAAAAGGAAGATCAACGAACCTTTTCGAGTTTACATGCCATGTTTACAACGTTTTCTCTAGTGGCTATCGCACGAATGTTATATACACTGATTTTAGTAACACCTTTGACTAAGTTAGCCAGAAATTATCGATCTTCAATTTCCAGGCATGTGACATCGCTTTGTACTTATTGAAATGAAAAAGCGCCTATCTTCATAACAGATCATTCAGAGTTCTGTATAACTCCATTCTCTTGTGATGAATTCCCCGTGACGTCAGATGTCTCTCAAGGTAGCTATTTAGGACCCTTTCCGTTCATCTTGTACATCAATGATATACTTTCGATGATTAAGTCCAGCCACATCTTAACGCACGCTGACGATATTAAACTATTTTCTTCTCTTTTCTTGGAAGCCCACTCACATCTCTTTCAATTTCACTTAGACAACTTGGTAATATGGTGCTCCCTAAATTTTATAAAATGTAAGCATCTTTCTTTTTCAAGGCGGGCTATGTTCACTACCAACTACTTCATTGATTCGCAAGCAGTAGATTCGTGCATGGATTCACGTTTTATTCAACCATAGTCTTCGTTTTAATTGTCAAATTGATCTCTCTGTAAATAAAGCAAGATCAGTGCTTGGCTTTATTAAACGCTGGTCTGGGTAGCTTGACGATCCTTACGTTACGAAGAGACTATATATGAACTTAGTGAGACGTACATTTGAACAAACGTATATGAACTGTTCGCCTTCCTATAGGCGCTATGTAGATTCAATAACATCCGTTCGAAAACAATTCATCCTCTTTGCCATCAGGAATCTAGGCTGGGACCTGCTTGTCTCCTTGTCTCCTTACGGAAATAGATTATCTGAATTTTTTTTAAATAACCAATCGCCCAGAGATTGCACTGAACATACATCATTCCTTACCACAATTGAAAGGATTAAAGTGAATGAAAGTTTTAGTACTTTTTCAAATTAACTAACATTATTTAATCACAAGTGCAAAGTCTTTCTTGTTAATAACAGAATTTTAAAAATACTTAGCATCACTGTTTATTGAATCATTGTAGCAGTGAAGGGCATACAAATCAAAAATTTAGATGTCAAAATTATTCTCAAAATTTCAATATCTTTTTTCTGTTTATTGTGTCTGGAAAAGGAAAATAGATAATGTCTCCAAATTGAGAGGTCTATACACCAGTAAGTAAAAGTTTTTCTGATGATTCTCTTTGTTAAGAGACAAACATGTACCGTTAGTCAGCACAGTACTGTCAACCATCGAATAAAATTCCCGGAAAAATTAATTATAAGCTTAACCTATTTATTTGTGTAATGTTATAACATTCTACTTTCGAACGTTTGTATACATTTCTCAATATATTTTGGAAATTTACAAAATGTGGAATGTGCAAATTGAACCTTAGATCTTAGACTATATCTATGTACACTGTCAAAGCTTTTTTGGGACGCAAACCTAACTGGTGGTAAGTCATGAGTTTGATAATAGTACTTCCAGATTGACAGTTTTTAAAGGGATTTCTTATAATGCCCACGAAGAGTTAGGCTGTCTTTTAAAATTTACCAAGAAATCGAAGACACTTCATCTGATTAACTTTAGTTTCTATGATAAAGAGCATAATTTAGAAATATTAAAATATAAATTAAGATCGGCACAGATATCGAAAATAAGATTAGCTTTTATCGAAAGATTATTCATGGCAACTGAAAAGCATGAACCCGCAGATGCAATTAAAAAATCATCTGCATATTGAAAAATGTTAGTATTGTCGCCTTGAAAATCATGCAAAAATAAGAAAAATATTTTCTATTCATCATTCAATGGATTTCCAAATTCTTAGTTTACAATTAGCTTATTCTACATTTAATAACACGTACGATCGCAGCAAACCATCTGGCATCTCTGCTGTACGCAAATATACGTATGAAAAATGAAATATTGTTAAAGCTATTTATGTGGATCATAAAAGATCATCGCGATAACAGTGAACTTTAGTCTTAATACGTATTTCATTGATCAGTTGCCGTGTTTACGCTGTGTGCAGAAGATTGTGTGTTTATACTTATAATAAAGTTTTCTTAAGCAAAAAAATGTCGAAAGTTTTTAAATATTATTATGATTTAATGTCACAACCTTCCCGGGCTTTGTGGATTGCACTGAAAATGGGTAAAACCCAATTTGAAGATTGCCCTGTGGCTCTGAGAAAAAGTAGATAGACTTATTAACGCCTATGCCGTCCTTATTAATTCATTTCCCATTTTCCAGTGGAGCAGTATACTGAAGCATACAAAAAAGTTAATCGTTTCCAAAAAGTGCCTGCCATAGTTGATAATGATTTTCATTTATCTGAATCGGTAGCAATATTAAGGTGACATCTCTTAAAATTAAAAGCTACCACTAATAAGCTTCCGTTTTACTAGCGATCTTTAGATACTTAGCCGACAAACAGCAATTCAGTGAAGCGCTTTATCCCCGTGATATACAGGAAAGGGCGAAAGTTGACGAATTCCTGGAATGGCATCACTTGGGTGTCCGTTACGGATGTAGCGGTTACTTCATGCATTTGTGGCTTTTACCTTTAAGAGGTTTGGCAGACAAACCTACAAAGGAAAAAGCCTTGGAATTGAAAATCGAAATGGAGCGACAACTGAAGTTAGTGGAAGAATTGTGGTTAAAGGATAACAACTTCTTAACCGGCGATAAGTTGACCGTGGCCGATCTATTTGGCGCCTGCGAAATAGAGCAGACAAGTATGTTTAGCTATAAGATTGTGAAATGACTTTTTTGTACCAATGCAGAAGAACATACGTCGAAGACGCTTCATTCCGTTTTGCAACTTGTAAGAAATATGCATAGAGCCTACAAGGGGAATAAGATTTTTCGATTTAATTTAGTCCACTGCAGAACTCTTACATCCACGAAAATTGCATTGAATTGAAAGAATATGCTAACGCATAGGTTCTTAATTCGTTACAATCGTATGTCCATGAGTGCAAAGTGGGAACGGCTTTGAAAATGGAGGATTCACTAGCAGACGTTCAAAAATCTGCACATATAGCATATATATAGCATAGATATAGATCGGAAATTTAATTCGAACTCTTTTACTTTTATTTAGACAAATTTTCTTGAGGGACTGATAGATCGCCAAAATTCGCGTTAAGCCGTGTGTGGGTAACTTGCTTGTTTACTTCATGTTTTCTTCCGTCCTTTCACAGAACTTTGCCGCTACGATGCCAAAGAAAAATTCCCAAAAATCACTAAATGGTTGGGAAGGGTACGGACAGAGTCAAATCCTTATTTCGATGAAGCTCATAAATATCTTTATAAAGCAGTTCAAGTTTTAACTTAATTGCACTTATATTTAAGTAATAAAAGAAAATATTTAATTAAATTTAAAACTCTAATCGACTTCTAATTTCCTAAAAGATCCTTCTAAGCCAAATAAACTTTGAGAATTGAACGGTTCACCCAGACGAAGTTTCTCATTACTTCCATATTACACCTCGTTTTCAAAGTAATCTTTATAACGTAGTACGTGCTCTTCCAATGAAGCAATAATATTTTCTATGGTGCCACCGGTACCACCATACTCCTTAGGCAAACATTCTTGTGGTACGTAATCATAAAGAGACTCATAATTTGGATGTACATAAAACTATAAAGAAATTATGTATATATATAAATACACATAAGAGAATAAAAACTTACTCTTTGTCTAAGCTTTTCAGGCATAAGACTTTTAGCTAAACTGAAAAATTTTGCTGCAATGGATGAGACATTGATCAAATGTACAGCTTTCACCCTTAAAGGCAGTGCTTTCTCCGTGAAAATTGCGACTTTTCTTGCTAGCAAAGGATTACAATAGAATATATGGCTTGCACCAAAACCCTGCATGTCAGTAATTTCAATACAACCCGAAATTACAGCATTATCATCGTCAATTAATTCTATATCATTTAAAATGTTCCGAGTTTTCAATAACTCAGCGAAAGGGAATTCCTTCATATCGTAAACAGTGTAACGAGAAATGTGTATACGAGGGCCATCTTCGCTTAAAGGTTTCAATAGCCTTAGGAAACCGCTATAAAACAAAAAATTTTATCACTCAACTATTACAAGAACGAAAAGTAATTAATTTACCCTTTCCTAAGTATAGTTAATGTTCTCTCGTTAATAAAACGATTTTCATATAATTCTGGAAGAGCACCACGCATCGAATAGAAATGATCGATTTTCTGTTTACTTTTCTGTAAACTATATTTACAACCCCGAAGAAAAGCCACTAACAATTGATCGTCAAGGCGGGCTTTTAAGTGCGGTTGACTAGAAATCCAAGATTTTAGTACCGCTATATCTTGATCAATGCGCTCCGGTACTTCTCCGAGTTCTAGCTTCGCCTTCTTAGCTAGTGAAGTGCTAACGGGACGAATGTTAGTCATTGAAACGTTCTCGGTATTAAGTAAAATTTTATATATCAAATTTATTTACGTATATACAGCCGTTTCTTAATTTTAAATGCTAATGAATTAATTGCGCAACACAAACTTTATGTAATGCTAAACTTTCTTGTAACTAGCAACCGTCGCGACTAGTTGCGCTTAATCCAACACAACCTCGTGATGTTTACCTCAATTTGTTTACTACAAATCGTTCAGAGTTCCGTCACTTACGTTATCGTCGTTTGCTTTTACCTAATTGGGTTTAACATTTTATCGAAAAGAAGCTAATTAAGTAAACAAAAGTAAGAAAAATATTTTCTATTCATCATTCAATGGATTTGCAAACTCTTAGTTTACAGTTAGCTTATTCTACATTTAATAACACGTACGATCGCAGCAAACCATCTGGCATCTCTGTTGTACGCAAATATACGTATGAAAAATGAAATATTGTTAAAGCTATTTATGTGGATCATAAAAGATCATCGCGATAACAGTGAACTTTAGTCTTAATACAAGGCGGTTCATATCCCTTCAGTTGAAGCGGTTGGCTGCATCCCCGTTTCTAATGATCCGAATTGCAGCAAAAAAATGTGTCTCCAAATTCAGCTTAGCCAAGTAAAATTGGCATTCACCAATACATAATTATAATCTCTCTCTATGGGTAGAGCACAATTCTGACAAAAGCGAATATACAACACTCTAGTCTTAATACGTATTTCATTGATTAGTTGCGGTGTTTGCGCTGTGTACAGAAGTTTGTGTGTTGATACTTATAATAAAGTTTTGTTAAGCAAAAAAATATCGACAGTTTTTAAATATTATGATGATTTAATGTCACTACCTTCCCGGGCTTTGTGGATTGCACTGAAAATGGGTAAAACCCAATTTGAAGATTGCCCTGTGTCTCTGAGAAAAAGTAGATAGACTTATTAACGCCTATGCCGTCCTTATTAATTCATTTCCCATTTTCCAGTGGAGCAGTATACTGAAGCATACAAAAAAGTTAATCGTTTCCAAAAAGTGCCTGCCATAGTTGATAATGATTTTCATTTATCTGAATCGGTAGCAATATTAAGGTGACATCTCTTAAAATTAAAAGCTACCATTAATAAGCTTCCGTTTTACTAGCAATCTTTAGATACTTAGCCGACAAACAGCAATTCAGTGAAGCGCTTTATCCCCGTGATATACGGGAAAGGGCGAAAGTTGACGTTGGAATGGCATCACTTGGGTGTCCGTTACGGATGTAGTGGTTACTTCATGCATTTGTGGCTTTTACCTTTAAGAGGTTTAGCAGACAAACCTACAAAGGAAAAAGCCTTTGAATTGAAAATCGAAATGGAGCGACAACTGAAGTTAGTGGAAGAATTGTGGTTAAAGGATAACAACTTCTTAACCGGCGATAAGTTGACCGTGGCTGATCTATTTGGCGCCTGCGAAATAGAGCAGACAAGTATGTTTAGCTATAAGATTGTGAAATGACTTTTTTGTACCAATGCAGAAGAACATACGTCGAAGACGCTTCATTCCGTTTTGTAACTTGTAAGAAATATGCATAGAGCCTACAAGGGGAATAAGATTTTTCGATTTAATTTAGTCCACTGCAGAACTCTTACATCCACGAAAATTGCATTGAATTGAAAGAATATGCTAACGCATAGGTTCTTAATTCGTTACAATCGTATGTCCATGAGTGCAAAGTGGGAACGGCTTTGAAAATAGAGGATTCACTAGCAGACGTTCAAAAATCTGCACATATAGCATAGATATAGATCAGAAATTTAATTCGAGCTCTTTTACTTTTATTTAGACAAATTTTCTTGAGGGACTGATAGATCGCCAAAATTCGCGTTAAGCCGTGTGTGGGTAACTTGCTTGTTTACTTCATGTTTTCTTCCGTCCTTTCACAGAACTTTGCCGCTATGATGCCAAAGAAAAATTCCCAAAAATCACTAAATGGTTGGAAAGGGTACGGACAGAGTCAAATCCTTATTTCGATGAAGCTCATAAATATCTTTAAAAAGCAGTTCAAGTTTTAACTTAATTGCATTTATATTTAAGTAATAAAAGAAAATATTTAATTAAATTTAAAACTCTAATCGACTTCTAATTTCCTAAAAGATCCTTCTAAGCCAAATAAACTTTGAGAATTGAACGGTTCACCCAGACGAAGTTTCTCATTACTTCCATATTGCACCTCGTCTTCAAAGTAATCTTTATAACGTAGTACGTGCTCTTCCAATGAAGCAATAATATTTTCTATGGTTCCACCGGTACCACCATACTCCTTAGGCAAACATTCTTGTGGTACGTATTCATAAAGAGACTCATAATTTGGATGTACATAAAACTATAAAGAAATTATGTATATATATATATAAATACATATAAGAGCATAAAAACTTACTCTTTCTCTAAGCCTTTCAGGCGTAAGACTTTTAACTAAATTGAAAAATTTCTCTGCAGTGGATGGGACATTGATAAAGTGTATACCTTTCACCCTTAAAGGCAGTGCTTTCTCCGTTAATATTCCAATTTTTTTTACTAGCAAAGGATCAAAATAGAATAGATGCTTTGCACCAAAACCTTGCATGTCAGTAATTTCAATACAACCTGAAATTACAGAATTATCATCGTCCATTAAATCTATATCATTTAAAATGTTCCGAGTTTTCAATAACTCAGCGAATGGGAATTCCTTCATATCGTAAACAGTGTAACGAGAAATGTGTATACGAGGGCCATCTTCGCTTAAAGGTTTCAATAGCCTTAGGAAACCGCTATAAAACAAAAAATTTTATCACTCAACTATTACAAGAACGAAAAGTAATTAATTTACCCTTTCCTAAATATAGTTAATGTTCTCTCGTTAATAAAACGATTTTCATATAATTCTGGAAGAGCACCACGCATCGAATAGAAATAATCGATTTTCTGTTTACTTTTCTGTAAACTATATTTACAACCCCGAAGAAAAGCCACTAACAATTGATCGTCAAGGCGGGCTTTTAAGTGCGGTTGACTAGAAATCCAAGCTTTTAGTACCGCTATATCTTGATCAATGCGCTCGGGTACTTCTCCGAGTTCTAGCTTCGCCTTCTTAGCTAGCGAATTGCTTACGGGACGAATGTTAGTCATTTAAATGTCCTCGGTATTAAGTAAAATTTTATATATTTAATTTATTTACGTATATACAGCCGTTTCTTAATTTTAAATGCTAATGAATTAATTGCGCAACACAAACTTTCTCTAATGCTAAACTTTCTTGTAAGTAGCAACCGTCGCGACTAGTTGCGCTTAATCCAACAGAGCGTAATAGTGAACCAATTTTTTCATACCTTTTGTATCAACGGCATAATCGCAAAAGGCACATAAAAGTCATTTAAGCAGTTTTGTCAATCGATACGTCCATTACATTTTTTTTTCTTTGTTGCTCTGCTATAGAGAGCCTTAGAATTCTCCCTATCCTAAACGAAAAGTTGAAGTTTGGTTTCAATGAATCGAGTTTAAAAACAAATTTAATGAGCGTACGGTCGTTAGAACCCAATAAAAGGCCGGGACAAGCCTGAAAGCAAAACCCAAAGCTTTTTCGGCTTTTATCATTAGGTCATCATTCTTAAAAACATATCAATACGGCTATACAATTAATAAGCTACCTATCGTGAGTGGTGAACGGGTGTTTACAATTCTTTGCAAGCTGTCTTTCTTTGTTACCAATTTTCATTATCTCTGTTATTTTATTGAACGTTATAGATTCTAGTAATTCTTCATATCAAAATTATCAAACACTGAATAGATAACATTTCCGAAAATAGACATATAAATTTATCATTTGTTCAAACATTTCGTTACTTTGAGAAAGCTATATATTAATATAACGATTTAAACGAATTATAAAACAGTCCACTAATCTAAAAGTCTCGACGGAGAGTGTAAATTAGGGTCTCGAATACGTATGTAACACCCAGAGAGGTTTAAAATAGATCTCCTTTCTATTATACAGAAGTATTTTCCGAATCGCCTTAAACGTGTAATTACCTGAGTAGCTGAATATGTACTGAATATGTATGCACCGGATTTATCAAGACAACATTTTAGGGTTCAAGTCTTAAGTACGGTAGATTTTTTTTTTGGTCGTGGGTATACTGATTACTTAATTGGTAAAGGTATAGCAATTTACGATAGGCAAACACCCACAAAAATTTACACACAAAGCTGCGGTCACCACCACCCTACTCCTTTCTCTTCCCTCTCTTCTTTCTGACAATCATTGTCTGTCTATCTATCTAATGCCTGTCTATGGATAACTCCATTCAAGCTGTATTTCATCAATTTTCCATATATTTTAATGAAATTTGGGTTGGAACCTTTTTCCAGCCGCTATGATTCGTTTTCTTGGAGAAAAATTTGATAGCTTTTTAAATTTCTCCCCCAAAACCTTATTAATTAAAAAATTCTGAATCGGTTGAGCCAATGTCGCCAACCTAAGTTCTTATGAAATTTATACCCCTGTAGGTCAGAAATATGTAAATAAATGAAAAATAAATGATTTACCAATTAATTTAGTTAGTTTTAAAAAAGCTATACCTAACTGAGCCAATTAATTATATTACGTAAAAAGGCAGGGTTCATATTGCAAAAAAATCTCCCCTAAAAATGAATTCATAAACTGCAAAGGTTCATAGATTGACCTAGGTTAACGATAATAGAGCTAGGTTCCAGGGAAGAGGTAATCCCTCGTTTCCTTGGCGTCTGGAAAACAAAGGTACTTTATGCGCTTTTTGAAGTGACGCAGTTGCGTTTAAAATATTGTTTTGTTTTATTTAAATTATACGAAAGCACCGATGAAACTGATTTTATTAAACTATTTAAAACTTGGCAATCGTAAGATTCGTCAAAAACTGTTGCCTGTCTATTGTAGGAAAAGCCAAATTTAAAAACAAATTTGAATCAGCTTAATTTAAAAGCAAATTTGAATCACTTTACATCTACATATAAAACAAAAGAAAATTTTATTTCTATTCAATAAACGAGAAAAGATGTTCCGCTTAATAAAATCATTAAACTCCGTTGAAAACGTTAAATTCATTTTAAGTAGTGTACCCGAAAAGCGCTATAATTCTGACATACCAATATCTCAATCTACGCCGGGTGTAAAATACACTGGCGTAAGCTTCATTTCGATTTCAAATCTTGTTTTTTAATTAAACAAAAATGACTCCCTTTTATATCAATAATGTGGACTCCAATACTAACGAGTAGGCGCGAAGAAATATTAAGTTCGAGGTTGTCTCCTAACATGTAAACATTCGTCGCATACATATTTTTCCGCCTATTCGACGGTCGAAATTATTCGAAAAAAAAAAAACGGACACAAAATATTTTCCTATTATAATAATAAAAAATTATCCATTCGTCTATAAAATAAAATTAAATTGACTTAATATATAAACTCCTGCAGCAAGAAGCCATGAAGAAAAAGGAGTCTGAGTCATTTTAGTTATTGCTGATAATATAACAAAATTTTCAGTTGATGTTATAATAAAATCTTTTTATTTTTGTATCACATAAAAAATAAAATTTCATCTTCCACAATAATAAAGCAACATCTCCAATTCTATTATCTAAATGATATAGTTAATATTCCAAATATTTCAGCATTAAATGATTTCACGTTTTGAAAATAAATAATAAACCATTAAACTTCCAACTAATAATATTCTAACAACATAGTAAAGCTTACAATTTTTCAATTTTCTATTACATATCCCTTTCTAAAGAAGAAAATATCAATACAGCAGATATAAAAATTGAACTTATTGCCTATGCAAACTCAGTCATTTGCTATGGCTACTTATGCAAACGCAACGTAGCAATGTAGTAATTTGTATATAGTTTCAAGTTAATTGAAGTTAGTTATGAGTTCTCTCTGTCTCGCTTATAATTTTTTTGGTGTTTTTTGTCTTCTCTTTTTCTTCTACAATTAAATGAGATGAATTGAAGTGACCAGATCTCAAGTTTCTAAATTTGGAATGAGGCATCCCTAATTTTTAAAAAAAAAAATTTTCTACTAATAAGTTATTTTATTATTGTTTTGGGCGTATTTTCGTGTCAATATGACAAATGCACTCAAAAACAATTTGCAAAAAATTGTCAGGTGGTCACCTTAACTGCAAGTATGACGAACATTTTGAATGCTGCACACGCATGAAGCCAAAAATTGCTTAAGAAGAAAATAGCAAAGCTAAAGCAGAGAACAAGTCAAGAAAATCAAAAAGAGTAAAAAGAAAAGTCGCAAAAATTAGTAAAACGAGCGACATACCGCGTAGCTTTTATTATTTTATTTTCGGCAAATAATCTTATTTTTTGTGGGTGTGGCGGGAGGTGTGAGAGCAAGAAAAGGATCTTGGCGAGGTTGGCTGATAAATTCGTAAGTTTTCCATTTTTTAAAAACATCTAATATAATAAATATATAATATAACTATATATAAATATATGTGAGTAGATATTTGTATAAAGTTATGTGTACACAGTGTAATGCAATACCTAAAATTTGTTCTTTTCTATATTTTTAGTCGGGAAATCTAATGAGCGTGCAGTTCAATAACAATCTTGCAATTATTACAACTATTTACTTATACACAAAAACATTACATATAAGATAGAGCAAAATTATTAAGTACTAACGCAAGGCATCCGATATATACGAAACGATATTAAAGACTCTAGCAGAGAGTGAAGGAACTAGAATGGGAACATTTACTGAAGTTTGTACGATACGCATACGTAAGACGACACTACAAGCAAGTGTTTATTTTACTATAACGGTTTGAATAGACCGGTACATGAGTGTAATCGCGCTAAAGCAGAAATACTTGTGTATGGTTGTGCGTACGTTTGCTTAAGCAATTATATATAAGCGCACATGCAGTAGAATTTTCGATTTTGATTTTCCTGTGCTTGGCTGTTTTTATTTTTGTCATATTTATGTAAACATTTTTTTATAAATAAACTTGGCTTTTATTTGGATAATTACCATTATTTTTCTATATATTTGTATATTTATTGTCAAACAATTATTATAATCATTCTCTCTAATTTCTACTACACATGTATTTTCCTATTACTATTATTCTTATTAAAAGCAAAATGATTATTTTCAATTTGTACATTTTCATCAATATTCATCTTTGTCAAAATGGCATTTAAACAAAAATAAATTAGCGAAGCGATTTTTACGCCGAAATTTGAAAAAACTGGGTATTATTAAATCAAACCAATATAAGATTTTATAAATGTAGACAAACGCGCGTTGTCGTTTCAGAAGTTTTTAACGCAATAATAAATTCTAACAACGAAGAAAAAAAGGGAGGGCATATGCCATAGTTAAGAGTTTATGAGTTCAGGTAGATATAAGACTACTCATCTTAATATATAACAATACCTTTAATGTGACTGTATGTGGTATTAACTTGGCGTTACATACTATAGTACATCTTATGGTCAGTAGTTATGTCTTTCGAACGAGTCACGTACACGCACTACGAGAGTCCTACATCTTAGCGAGGTCGACGATATCACTAAAAAAATCATGTACATTAATAGTGTAAGGCGATGGGGGAGATGAAATATCGTTTGGTTCGTTGTTATGCATTATAAGAGTACAACAAATTAAAGTTGCGAAAGGCAAACAAATAAATACAGAATTGCAGATTTAAGTTTGTCAGATGCAGAAATAATCTCTATTACACATCATTTATTTTTAATTATTTTTTCCGGGTTTAGATATAAAATTATTTGTCACTGACTTTTACTTTTTAACATTTTTTTGCCCTCTTTTTGTGCAATTTTTAAATAATGTGTGACATTTTCAATTTTAATTTCTTATGTATTTGTTTGGCTTAATAGGAGAAATATGAAGAAGTTTGATCATTTTTCTGCATAGTTATTTTCTTTTTGAAAGAAATCTATGTTTTTCATATTGTTTTTCATTCGTGATAATTCCTGATAATATGCAAAATGCAAAAGCCAAACTTTCTTGAATATTTGGAAGATTTCCTCGATTGAGTAATCTACGACATTGGCTAGGTATTTGCTCTTCTTAATAAGAACTTCCATTTGAGTTTCTTTTATTGTTTCCTTATCTTCATAGTCTTTTTCAACTAGTGTCAGAGCTTTTATCGTAAACTACAAGCACATCTTACAGTTTGCCGTTTTACGGATATATATCCATTAATTAGTCGCAGTGCTTGGTTTCCATAATTTGTTTCTGTTAGTATTAAATTTTCCGGCAATTTTTATCCCTTAGTTTTGCGTTTAATAATACACCGTATTCTCCAATCCAATCTCCAATGTCTTCTTATATTTTAGAATATTGTTCGCCGGATATCGTGGCTAAATTTTCGAAGTAGTGTCTATATTGCCTTGTTCGATTGCAATAACTCGATTCGGTTAATTTTTCGAAGACCTTTGACGTTTTTCTTTTTTTTGGTTCCTTATGTTGAGATCCCCTTTTTTGATCACTAAAATATATCAAGTTTTCACTTATATCTGTATTGTTAAATTTCCTATTTCCATTTTCTTTTATAAAAACATTTAATATTTTTTGCGCAGTATTCTTATACCTTCAATAGTTCACATGTCTGCATTTTTTCACATCTACCACATTTGTTCGCCTCTTTTAAATTTTCGACCATTTCGCTGCTAAAGTTAGTAAATGGATCGAGCAGGCTTGAATGGTTTTTACCAAAGTGTTGGTGTTTAGTATAACAAGAATATTTGAATATTCATCGTCCTTGTTCATATCATTAAACAAAAGGGATTTGGATCATCATTGAGCAGCTCTTTACAATATTTTGAAAGGAACTTATTCCGTAAATATTCCAATAGGTGTATGTAGTCATATAACACAGGAGTGTGACCACAATTTGGAAGTAACGAGAACTATTTCCTATAATCGGGTTAGATTTATCGAAGATAGAACCTACGACTTTTAGTCCAACACTATATAATGTTTTAAAAAACCCATCCTTAACTTTTGCATTGATTGGAAATCGCACAAAAGCACTTTGAAATTGGTGCTTAGGTTTCTGGTGATGAATACTCGGTTCACGGTTCAGCCACTGCTGGTATCATTAGGTTCCTTTTGTAAGCGCAGCCTTCCACGCAATGCTCCTCTTTATTATAATTTTACTTTTTGCCAAAGTAAAGATCATTAAAATTTATTATTACCATTTTCTCTTCCTCCGGTTATTTTGCAGCCATATTTTTTATTTATTTATGATGATATACATTCTATCTCTCACGATGTAGCTACTTTCAGTTTTCTCTTTGCTAATGACTTTTGCGAGGAGCTTAGCACGATTATTGAATGAGCGATTCTCATATGTGTAAGAATACTATAATAATTTTGATTTCAAGATTTCATTTTCTCTTTTAACTTTTTCAGTCTCTTCATTGAACGTTTTATCTTCATTACTCACAGTTAAGTTTTAATTAACTTGACTTACATATCCATTTTGCGAAAATTTATTTGGTTTATTTACGCTAATTGACTTAATATACTCCAAGTTTGTCCTTAACCCTGTTCGATTGTCGTCCATCATTCCGTCTGTTTTGTACACATCTAATTGCCCCATTTGTTTTACTGCTTTTATAAAGGGCTACTTCTTGCAGATGTGCCTAGATGGAGTGTTCGGACTGCATCGGCTGCCAATACATTGCTAAATTTGGATCAAGTCAGTTCATATTTCGGAGTCTGTCCACATGAGGGCTCCCATGAAAAGTACGAACTTAATCATTTTTGACATCTTTTTTAATAATTTTTTACAACACATCGAAAAATGAACTCACAAACTGTAAAGGGTCATGGGTTGATCCAAGTTAACTATCCAGAATGATAAAAGAATCAGGCTTCAGGGACGAGATTACGCTTCGTGTGCTTAAGGGCTAGAAAGCATTGGCATATTAAGAGCTCTTTAAAGCAACACAGTTCCGTTTAAAACATTGCTCTTCTAGAGTTTTTTTTTTTTTATTTGAATTATATGACAACACCGAAGAAATTAAATTTATTGAAATATTTAAAACTCGGCAATCGTAAGACTTCTCAAAAACTGCTGTCTGTCTATTTTAGGAAAGTCAAAAGAAAACTGCTTAATTTAAAAACAAACTTGAATCATTTAACATCTACAAATAAAGCATAAGAAAATTTTATTTCTATTCAATAAACGAGAAATAATGTTACGTTTAATAAAATCATTAAACTCCGTTGAAACCGTAAAATTCATTTTAAGTAGTGTACCCCAAAAGCGCTATAATTCTAACATACCAACACCTCAATCTATGCCGGGCATAAAATACACTGGCGTAAGCTTGATTTCAATTTCATATCTAGTTTTTTATTTAAACAAAAATGGCTCCCTTTTACATCAATAATAAGGGCTTTAATACTAACGAGGAGGCGCGAAAAAATAAGTTCGTTCGTCTCCTAACATGTAAACATTCGTCGCATACTTATTTTCGATGGACGTAGGCTATACTTGTCCGCTTATTCGCTTGGATGGTCGAAGTTATTCGATAAAACAAACTGAGAGGAGAGAACTGAAATTTGGTAGCTATTTTTCAAGGAATTAAGATGGAAATCGAGTATGCTCCAAGAAAGCGTCTGTAGTTGCTAAAAAAAATAATTAAAACAATTTTTTTTTTTTGGTATGTTCAATGGATATGGACTAAGCCAATAGATTGGCTTAAAACAATTCCACCCATTTTTTCTCCTATTTTTGTTTTTAACAATCCAAACGAGCAAAAATTTGATACAAATATACATCAACGTCGTTTAAAGTTTTAAAAGCAAAGTATTTGTTACTTAAAGACCGACTACTTGCCGTGTCATCCCTTGAAAAGCTGAGAATTTTAGCGGGAGACAGTCAGGCGATTTTTTATTTAATATTGTTTTCATATTCTTTCTTTCAATGATTTATTTTCTATGGCATTGGTTTCATTCATTCGAATCAAATTAAAGATTTTTATAAATAATGAATGGCACGAAAGTAAATCGGGACAAAAATTTCGAACCATTAACCCAGCAGAAGGAACCTGCATTGCCGAAATAGAACGTTCCGGTGCGGAAGACGTAGATCTTGCTGTTGAAGCTGCTAAATGTGCCTTTCGGTAAGTGAAACTCGAACAAGCACTAAAGACATAGTCCCTCGTTAGAACTCGAAATTAATTACCATAAGAATCGATGGAGAAAAATAGGCTATAAAGCGTCTTATTTCTATTATATCCTCAATAGTTAGCCAAAATTGCTACACCTCTCCTCTTCTACTGTGGTGTGGCGTGATTGATGTAGGTTTTGAAGGACAAATTATGTTTAATATATACATTTTTAGATTCGGCTCTCCTTGGCGTCGTCTAGATGCTTCAAGGCGTGGAGCTTTATTAAATCGTTTAGCCAATCTCATGGAACGCGACCGTGTATACTTGGCGGTAAGTCTGTAATATTCATTTTTCCTTCATATGATTTTTTCTTAACTTTCAAAATGACAGAGTCTGGAAACCTTCGACAATGGCAAACCGTATTCAATGTCATATACCGTTGATTTGCCAATGTCCATAAGATGTTTACGATATTTCGCTGGCTGGGCTGACAAAAATCATGGCAAAACCATACCTATGGACGGTAAATTCTTTGCCTATACACGCTATGAGCCCGTGGGTGTATGTGCTCAAATCATACCATGGAATTTTCCTTTAGTGATGGCAAGTTGGAAATTAGGCCCAGCTTTAGCTACTGGCAATACCGTGGTCTTAAAACCATCCGAACAAACCTGTTTGAGTGCCTTATATCTAGCTCATTTAATTGAGGAGGCAGGTTTTCCAAGCGGTGTTGTAAATGTCTTGCCTGGTTTCGGAGATGTTGGTGAGGCACTGGTCAATCATTGTGATGTACAAAAAGTTGCTTTTACCGGCTCTACGGAAGTAGGTAAGCTAATTCAACAGTCGTCGGGTAATGCAAATTTAAAACGTGTAACTCTGGAATTGGGCGGCAAAAATTCAATGATTGTCTTCGCCGATGCTGATATGGATTATGCTGTAGAGACTGCGCATAATGGGTCATTTTTCAATATGGGTCAGAATTGTTGTGCGGCCTCGCGTATTTTTGTTGAAGAGAAAATGTATGATGAATTTGTTGATCGCAGTGTTGAAAGAGCAACGAAACGCCTTCTTGGTGATCCATTCGATTTAAAAGTTGAACAGGGTCCACAAATAGATGAGAAGCAAATGAAAAAAATATTGGATTTAATCGATAGCGGTAAAAAGGATGGCGCTAAGTTGTTGACAGGCGGTGCACGACAGGAAGGAATGCCTGGATATTTTGTGCAACCAACTGTTTTCGCCGACGTCAAAGACGATATGAAAATTTCGCGCGAAGAAATCTTTGGTCCTGTTCAGCAAATAATGTGTTTCAAAAAGTTGAACGAAGTTATAACAAGAGCCAACGATACCCATTACGGTCTAGCTGCAGGCGTCTTTACAAAAGATATTGACAAAGTCAATTATATTGTACAGGCTCTTCAGGCCGGCATCGTATGGGTAAATACATATAACAATTTCGCTTCGCAAGTTCCCTTCGGTGGCTTTAAAATGTCCGGTTACGGACGAGAAAATGGCGAAGAAGCTTTACGTAATTACACAGAAATTAAAAGCGTTATAGTTAACCTTAATCAAAAAAACTCTTAAACTATATTTAAACGCCGTAGCGACTTATTTTCGTACTATTCATCTGTACTATATTTTGTTTTTCATTATGAAATTTTGTACTTTTAATAGAGTAATCAATTATGAATTTAGGAATTGTTTTGATTATAGACGAAGGATTTAAATTTTTTGGTTGTTAAATAACTCTTTAGAAACATGGTGCAGCTTCTTCATCGCTCTCATTGTTTACTTTACATATTAAATACTAATAATCAAGGCGGTAAAGTGTCATGAACATAGAAGAGGAAAAGAATTTTAGAGCAATTTCGGTAAGGCTTGCTGTCAAACGACTTTAAATTCTCTTATTTATCTTACGATTAAAAGTAAAGAAAACAAAATTTAACCGCTTTTAAAATTTGAGGGCCTGGCCGATCTTTTCCGTTTTTGCACGTAAATAATACAACAGGAGGAAGTTGCGTTTAGTTCAATTTACGCTTCACTGCGGACTTCTGTTCTGGTCAATTTGGCCCATTTTCAATACCAACGTGTATGTAAGAACTTCCAATGTTTCTGCCAAATTTGAGGTCCATATGTGTATTTTCGCGGCCAGGAGAATGTCAAAAAGCAATCGGACAAATATGGCTTAATCAATCCAGAATTCCGCGCTGGTGAAGAATATATATTTTCTATGGGACCTCGGAAGCTTCCGTTTGAGTGCTGGAAACATTAAGACCACCTTCAGCGGTGAGTATGAAAATGTTTTAGTGCTTTTTTGATAGAAACTATAATTTCTCAAAAGCATACACGAAAAATTGAATTTAAGACGTGCAAATTAATAAAAGAAGATTAAAAAATAAATTCAAGACGTAAAATTAATTATTTAATTAATTTTGATAATTTTTCTACTGTTTCGTATTAAACCAGTTTGAAAACTTCACGCGCCATTTTGCTCTAAAAGATGCATTTTATTCTCAGCATTTCTTAGGGCCTCTCTAGGAAATGCACAGCAAATTAAATTTTACTCTGAGAAATTAAAATTTGATTCTCACGAAAAGCCAAAAAACGAAAATCCAACGACGATAGACAGAGAAGAGATTTTTTTCGATGAATTAGTTTTACTTGTGTCGGAAGGAGAGAGAGCAAGAACAATATAAATCCAACATTTTCTATATTTTCTCATTTTTCATTGTGTGTATTTCAAGGGAGGAGGTTGTTTTTCAAAGTTAGAACATAGTAGATAATGTGTAAAACTTAATTAATTAAAGCGTGAAAGCACAAGAAAAATTAGCAAAAAAAAAAAAATAAATAAAAAAAACTTTAATTAATAATTAACAATTCCAAGTGCCAAGAGTGCTTTTTATATTTGTGTTTTCATATTGTTCCGATATATAAATTAAGAAAAATGTTGCGTTTAATAAAGTCCATAAATGTTGTTCAGAATACGAATAAGATTTTGGCCAGTAGCTTACAACAACAACGTACAGCCAATTACTCTGCTATGCCAGAACCGCAAACAACGCCTGATATATTGTATACTGGTGTAAGAAATATTTTTTAATTTTGTTTTGCGAATACTTTTCTCGTTTTTATATCAACGAATAAATGACTACAAATCGCCAATTAATTATTATTAATACAAACATAGAACTAACTATTATATGAAATGCAACATTTAATGACCTTCAAATTTTTCTACTGGCGTCGTCATTGTTTCTCCATGTAAAAAACAATGAAGAAAAGAAAATAAAAATTCTATGCCGGCAATAACAACAGACGGCACAATGCAAAACCGGTATTCAAAAGTTTCGCTTTTTTTTTTTTGCTCTCTTGCAAGCACAAAGAAATGTTTGTAAAGAGAACGAATATTCTATTTCTAGTGAGTGGCTTTTGGATGAGTCAATCGTTAAACATACCGATAATTTCGAGTTTGTTGTCCTCTTATTATTAAAGTATGTTTATTTTAAATAATCCAGAAAACAAAAACCCAACGTAGATTGATAATTGAGTATCGTTCAACTTATAATCACATATAGTATATTTAGTTATATATATATATATGTGAAATGCATTATCTATTAAGCTTAATTTATGTTATTTGTATTTAGTGTTGTATTATATTTTTAGATTTTAGATAGATAAGATTTCCGTAGAAGTATTCATATGCACCGTTTGAAGACCTCTATTTGCAGTAAGTTAAACTTATCGCTTATTTAGCGCAACATATGTTTTACACCCTTCAAATTTCTTCCAGGAAAATCTCAAAAATTGAACGCAAAAGCATTCACTTTTTAAAAACGTTGGCACAGCTTAGGGTTAATCTTTTTATGTACAATCATAATAATCTCGTCATTTTTAGTATTTTTAGCACGCAAGCCTTGAAACGTTTCATTATTTTCTCCTTTTAGCTACGCAAAGTTATCGTGATTGAAAAGCAAATTGAAAAAAAATTCAAATATTTTGGAAACATTGTTGAAACAATGCACGTCAATAAGCCTTTTTATAAAAACATACATGATAGCTTTGAGGGTAATGAATATCACATTCCTATCAATTCTATTATTATAATTCTATTGTTGACTTTAATTATTTGTTTGTTAAAACTACATATGTTCATAATTTTCATGAAAAATGAAAGTGTTTCTTTAGAAGAAATGTCTGCTGCTGCTAAACAATTTTTTAAAAACAATTTTTTTTTTTTTTTTGATAAAGTTGTTCTAAAAATGTGTAGCGTGTGCAATTGTTGTATACTTTCTAGTTACTCTTCGATTTTATCAAACAATAAATGCCGCGCTAGGCGGAAGGGCTTTTGTCAGTTATACAGAGAGAGGATGATTTCTTGATCAGCCAGTTTATTGTGCCTCGAAAGGAAGAAGCAGCATCAACAATTACCTATATCTGGCTAATTCAAGCGATTACATCGTGCCCTCCGCTTTAGGTGCAAATGGCAGACTGTTATGTTTTTTATGAACCTATTTTCCCTACTTTCCTCTTACGAGCATTGGTCAATTTTTTTTTTTCGTTTTTCTTTTCTTATCACTCTTGAGGCGATCGTCGCGGATCACCATCTCGCCAGAATTTATTATGTAATGTAGTGTAGTGTACAGCCGATGTGTTCGTGCAAGTTTTTCATAAATCTTTATATCGTATCAGCTATCATTTTTTGTCTTGACTTTTATTTATTTATTTTATTTATTTACGTATGAAATTCAAGTAAAGTACATTAACACCCGAATTTGAATTGACTCTTAGAAGTAAAATTTTATGCTAGTTATTAGCAAAAGAAATACAAATTGTATAAAGAGAAGTAAAGAAGAAAAAAAAATGATGAAAATTCATGGGAGGGGGGAGTATGTACACACCTGAAGAATTGCGTATCTGTTTTTGAAATTTTTGAAATTTACGCTTAGAAGCTTAGCAGACACGAGAGAAAGATCAAGGCTTTTTTTGTTACTAAAAACATCTCAAGGAGCACTTCCTTTCGGAATCATTGTAAAGAGGCGAAAACAACATTTCAACAACGATTATAAGCAACGGTCTTCGTTTTAGGGAATAGACGAAAAGTATTTATTTAGAAAGTTTAAAGGACTTCTGAAAAGCTTAAATCATTTTTGTAATCTGCTCTTGTCAATATTGCTCTTTTTTCTCTACCTCCCTTTTAAATTTGTTGCACCCCTTCGTAATAATGTCTCTTACTATTGAAGGTTTGCAGAAATTCTGATCATTGTTTCATCTGAAAAAAGGTATTTATTGTGGAAAATCAGTACAATATGTACTAACCAAAATAATTTCCCTGGTTTTGTGCAACAATTTACAATATTTTTGGCAACATGGCCACATCATGACAAAAGAACTTATATTGGCTTGGCAGCGATCTGTTCATCGAGCTACTTTCGCACTTCCCCAATTTTGCAGACCCGCGTACAAGGCTACCCAAGCTGTACCGATCTGAGCAAGTGGTAATCTGGAGGCGCCATGTCTGAACTTGCTTTTCGAGCTGCAATAGTGTGTCCTGCACATCCTTTGCAACCAATGATCAAAAAATGGTATTTTCAGTCAACTCGTGTTACCACCTTTAATTTCGGGTGGAACCAAAAGCGACAATTAGGTTATGTGGGAGCAGCATCTTCTTAAGCCTCTGAACGTGTTCGTTGGGTTTCGGCAGCAGATTTCTTCAAATAAACAGCAGAAATAATCAATTTGGAAGAAGGATGAATTTTGAGCGCTGCATGATTAGCGTCGTCGTGCGCTGACTGAATCAATAATATTAAGTAGAAAACTGCTATTTTATGTAAAGGCAGTTCGCAACCATCGTATCCAACCGTTATGTACACTGGTATTGCCCATTTTTTAAGCATTTTTACCTACAGAAGTCGTTGATCAACATTTTTGCAAGCACCTAACATATGAGGAAAATCGTTTTCAGTGGATAAAATCTATCGAGTTTTGATTTAGCTTTTTCCAGACTAAACTCATATTTTCTAAGAAAAATGAGAAGAAATGAGTCGAGACGTGCTTGTTTTAGAATCCCATTATACAGATTTTCAAGTGCCGTAGTGTAAATATATATCCAGTGCTAGAAAGTGACAAAATTAATAATCGTAATTTGGAATCGGCAATGATATAACTCTTGTGTACCCCATCTCTTTACTTTTTTTTTTTTTTGTTCGCACAGAAAAAGTTTATTTTTGCAAATTTTGTTATTTTGTTTAATTAAAAGCTTTTTATTAATAATGAATGGCACAAAAGCGTAACTGGTAAAACGTTCCCCAGCATAAATCCTACGACTGAGAAGGCTATTGCTGAAGTGCAACGTGCTGGAAAAGAAGACGTAGATTTGGCCGTTCAAGCTGCTAGAGATGCATTTCGGTAAGATGAGCTTAAATAAACATTTTTTTGGTTAAAAAGAAAAGTCAATCCAAAGTAATGCCCAGTAATTACTGAAAGAATTGTTCTTCTTTCACTTAATGATTCTCTACATAGTCAAAAATGGACAGAAGTACGTGCTCTCATAAAAAATTTGTTTTCATAAATATATTTAGACTCGGTTCTCGTTGGCGTCGCATGGATGCCTCGGACCGCGGTAATTTAATCAATCGTTTGGCTGATCTTATAGAACGTGATCGTGTTTACTTGGCTGTAAGTATTGTCTGTTTGCATACGTTCGTCGTTACTGTTTTGATCATTTTTTATATGTTACCTTAGAGTCTGGAAACTTTGGATAATGGGAAACCGTATTCTATGTCATATAACGTTGATCTCCCAATGTCCATAAAGAACTTACGCTATTTTGCTGGCTGGGCTGATAAAAATCACGGCAAAACCATACCAATGGATGGTGATTTTTTTGCCTATACACGTCATGAGCCGGTGGGCGTATGTGCTCAAATTATACCTTGGAATTTCCCCATATTAATGATGGCTTGGAAATTGGGTCCGGCTTTGGCGACTGGTAATACGGTTGTCTTAAAACCGGCCGAACAGACCTCTTTAACCGCCCTGTACATTGCTCAGTTGATTAAGGAGGCGGGTTTTCCAGAGGGCGTTGTAAATGTCTTGTCTGGTTACGGCGATGCCGGCGCTGCTTTGGCTAACCACTATAATGTAGATAAAGTGGCTTTTACTGGTTCCACGGAAGTCGGTAAATTAATACAACAAGCCTCAGGTAATACAAACTTGAAACGTGTAACTCTGGAATTGGGTGGCAAGAGCCCAAATATCGTTTTGGCCGATACGGATATGGATTATGCTGTGGAGACATCGCATTTCGGTTTATTTTTCAATATGGGTCAATGTTGTTGTGCCGGTTCACGTACTTTTGTGGAAGAGAAAATTTATGACGAATTTGTTGAGCGTAGTGCCGAAAGAGCACGAAAACGTCGTTTTGGTAATCCCTTCGATTTAAATGTTGAACAGGGTCCCCAAGTGGATGAGGAGCAATTACAAAAAATTCTGCAATTAATTGATAGCGGTAAACAGCAAGGTGCTAAACTGATTGCAGGCGGTGCACGTCCGAATGAATTACCCGGCTATTTTGTACAGCCAACTGTTTTCGCTGATGTTCAAGACGATATGAGAATTGCCCGTGAGGAAATCTTTGGTCCTGTCCAACAAATAATACGTTTCAAAAAACTGGATGAAGTTATAGAAAGAGCGAACAATTCTGATTATGGCTTAGCTGCGGCCGTTTTCACCAAAGATATCGACAAAGCGAATTATATTGTTCAGGGTCTTCGCGCCGGTACAGTATGGGTTAATACATATAATAGCTTGGCTTCGCAGGTACCATTTGGCGGCTTCAAAATGTCGGGTCATGGCCGCGAAAATGGTGAATATGCTTTGCGTAATTACACCGAAGTGAAAAGTGTTATCGTTAAGCTTGCTCAGAAAAATTCTTAAGCTACGTTGTTGTTGTTTAGTTTTACTTTTTTATATATTATACTTTCACAATTTACCAATTTACGGCATTAATTTCCGTTTAATGAATAAATTTGATATCTTTATAAACTAATCAATGTCTAATTTACGAAATGTTCCATCCACACCGAATAATTCATCGTAATCCAGGAGTGCGTGTGTTCGTAAGCTTTCGTTGTTACGATAATTCAAATCATCCTTCAGGTAATCTTGATAGTCAAGAAATCGTTTATAACCTTGATGTTGCAGCTCCTCTAGAGAACCGTTTCTACCGCTTAATTCACGAGGTAGAAATTCTTGTGGTATATGTTCAAGAAGGCTATTTAAAGTGCTATGGACGTGCAACTGGAAAGAAAAATCATTAAAGCATTTTATGCTATGCGGTAAGAAGATTCCTTACTCTTTGCTGAAATCTCTCGGGTAAAACATGTTTAATCATATTGAAGAGCTTGTCATAAACCGGCGAAGTGTTGACGCAATGTATTGCCCGTAAACGTGTCGGCACCGCGTCTTCGACAAATGTTATCATTTTTTTAACAATCAATGGCGTAATTTGCATAACATGCGAATAAGTTAAGGCAGAGGTATCCAAGAGTTGTATGTAACCATTAACAACAGAATAGTCATCTTCACGAGCTGCTAACTCTTGGCTGGTATGATAAATAGATATTACTTGAGTGAATGTGTATTTATCGGCCGGATAAGCACCAAAACGTATATATTGAATACGTGGTCCGTCGCCATTAAGCGGTATTGGTAAACTTACAAATGTGCTAAGCGTTTAAAAAGCAATTGTCATTTCATCTTTTACAAGCAGACTTCGGTACTTACTCTAGCTTGAGTATTTCATACACTGTCTTCTCATCCATAGTTTGTGTAGTAAATAATTCCGGATGTTTAGTTTTTAGTGCATAAAACCTATCAATTTTTGATTTAGCTTTCTCTAGGCTAAATTTACAACCTCTAAGAAATATCAAAAGAAACTGATCATCGGTTCGTGATTTGAGATGCGATTGCTTTCGAATCCAATTACGTAAATTCTCGATATCCTCTTCGACACGACTTGGAATTTCATTTAATTCTTCGATGGCCACTTTTTGTAACTTTTCACTTAAACATTTAACTGTAAGCATTTTGTGGTGTGTGTTCGCTTTAGCAACTGATTTTGAAAAGCTTAATATTGTTTGTAAAAAGTATTTTAATAACTCAAGAAACCAACGTTTTCCCCTTACATGTGCAGACATGTATATATATATCGTAGGGTTGGCGCGGAAGTTCTGCCGTATTTTAAGTAAAACGTCTAAATTTAACGATGTTTGAAGTGTCGGTCAGCCGTCGAGTGGTAGAGTCCTCGCAAATTGCAATGCGTTTAGATGAGAATTATCGCACAACAGGAATCGTAAGATGTCATCATCGTCCCAATCGAGAATCGTCTCTGGTAAATCATCTTTGGCTGGTCCGAACATATGCCACTTCACTTCTCAATGTGTCATATAACGTTTTATAAGCAAACTACTCTTTGCTTCTTTCCTAGCACTCGTACCACGCCAATGTCTTAAATGATTTTTACTGTCTCTGCACATCGCAACTAATTGCTGAGGGATATTAAGAGCAGTCTCATATATCCCACGAGAGATATGCTAAATCATAAGATCCCACATCACGCATTCTAACTGCTTACCTTGATCTGACAAGTGAAATTACCTATGGAAAATAAAATATGGCAGCACTTTCGTGTGAATTTATTGTATGCCTGATAATCTAAAAAATATTAAGCCGTTAGGACATTAGTTTTTTATACTTCATTCAAATACATATTGAGGCACAAATAATAACTATTATGAGGTTCAGTATTTTTTAGGCTACCTAACCTATATACATTTATATATATAGTATATGTTAATAAATATCTGACTACCGTTCAATTATATTTTATTGCTAGCACATGAGAGGCATGTTTTAGAAAAAAGACAAGTAAGAACGGGTAACGGACGCCATTAAACACTCTACATTACATTGTCTAACACAATTCTTATTTTTGCATGAAATTACTGTTATTGGTCAATTTTCATCACCAACCATTAACATTTCGTCTTTACTGCTCTGAAAAGAATCAATTTTCGTGAAAATCTTTATTAGCGTAGGATTCAAAAAATAGGCCGAGATCGTCCAAATTTGGCACAGTTAATTTTTTTTTTATGTTAAATTATTATTAACTTCATCGTGAGGCATTGAAAATTATACTTTTTTGTCGTATAAACTTTCGTTTTCGTTATAGGAAGGGGGTGCAAAAAATGCCCCAGTCGGCCCAAAGTTTTGGCACCAATTTACAAGACCGATATATTTTTACTTGGCCACTTTTGCCAAGAAATTTTGAAAATTGCAATTTTTTTCCATATAATGACTTTTCAGAATAGGACGTTATAAGGGGAGTGTCCGAAAAAGTAGAGCGATCCGAACCATTTTCAATAGCGTTCGTCCCTGGGTCAAAACACATCACTGTACCAAATTTCGTCAAAATGTCTTAAAAATTGCGACATGTAGCTCGAACAAAAATTTACATAGACAGACATCGGGACAGATGGACAGACAGTCTTAGATCAATTCAGATTACGATTCTAAATCGATCGATATAGAAAAAGGTGTGTCTATCTCAAGTGCTGTTGGGTGTTACCTACGTCATTTACCACAAGTGGTGTAGGGTATAGAAAAAGAAATGGAAACCTAATGGACTGCCGGAGCTGATAAAACGGTCAGGCGCACTTAATGTCATTTTTAGACCAGAAAAATCAATCATGGCTGCGAAACTTTTTATTATATACCATTGCACGATTCTTTAGATTGATCGGCATATATTGATTTGTTTGTTTTTTGAAATTAAAATTATTTCAAATTCGATCGTGAATGAATAAGTCATTAAACAAAAACTAACCTCGTAAGATTCAAAAAAAAATTCTGAATCTTTCCCTCCTGGCATGACGAGTCATCCCGTTGCATATTTAAATGAAGTCAACAGACTTAACACGGAATGAATTATTAGTTTTGAACGTATAGAAATCGTTAATTTCTTTTTTTCGTGATCGGTGTGTAAGCAATTTAGAAAATTGGTACTTGCAACCGTAAAACCTCTTTATCTATTTTAAAGATCTCAGTTTTTTAATTCTCATGAAAATTATTTATGGTCGGATAATGTTTTTTATCGAACGCAGGGTTGACATAGGAACATGCCTGGTAAGTTTCATGCTTTAATAAATTTTATAATAGGCGTGATGCTAGACTTGGATATGAGAAAATTTGAACTTACATAAATAAATGTATTTATATAAATCAAAAAATTGATCTCAATTTTCGGAACTTTTAATATCCGTGCTCCATAATTACGTGAGAGATGATCACATTACAAATTCTATGCGCGGCACTTTTGCTTACTTAAACGCAGATGCGAACAAAATGCGAATGTGAATAAAACATCAATTTTATTATAATTTCAATGATTGATTGCATGTTAAGAAACGGTCGTCTGACAATTAATCTTTAATTGAAGGGTATTAACACAACATTAGTTATGGTTTTTCGTTTTTTTTTTTTCAAGCCAGAGCTTACTCAGCAGTAATTTCAATCGAGGAACACTATTGAACTCTTTAAAGAAAAAACTTTTTTTTTTTTGCATCGTTTCAAAGCAACTTTGAAATCATATATATTGATAATTGCAGTCAATATACTCTTGGAGATCATTGAGATAATGCGGTTAAATGTTTGTCCAATCTTTGCATTAAATTTTGTTGAGAGAACATGGCGATAGCACTGCAAGAGTTAATCTCTTTTTCTCTCTAATTTTTCGAAATGTCTTGGTCGCAAATACTAAAATAAAAAGTTTAATCTTCACACACATTTTAATTTAAGTCCACACGTCCAAGACCTTTGACTATGGGATTATTTCTAAATACGCGGAAAAAATTTGGAATACATTTTTTAATAGTTTAGGAGGCAAGTGGAATATTGACCTTTTTAATTACGCTTAAGTTAAGTGGAGGTATATTCATGTGGCCACAGCTTTTGCGACACACTGAAAGAAACCCTCGTAGACTTTTTAAAGTATATATACTCCCGATCAATATTAAGTTCTTAAACGATTTAAGCACTTCTGTCCATCTGTCCATTTGGGTATTGACCGTTGTATACATTCTCCTGGTCGCAAAAACGGAGCTATTGCCTTCAGATTTGGAAGACCTTGCACGCAGGTTGTTGTTCAAAATGGGCAGTTAGTCTAAGAACATACCGACAGTTCTACGCAAACTGAGCACAAATCTAAGCTTAATAAAGTTATGTGTAGAATCTTTTAATTTTTACTTTTATTATAATGAAATTCACCTAAAAGAGAATATGACTAATTTTAGGCGAGCATTTCGCTATTAATATAAAATGCATTAGTTTAGTTTTTATAATATTAAAGTTCAGAATAAATAAATAAAACTTCATATGCTGCAAATGAAAATGAACTTGATGAACTTTTGCTTTGCCTTTATCTGTGATCTTTTAATAGAGAAATGAATTATAAAAAAGTATTTTTGTTTTCTAATACCTAAATGTGTTTGCGCGGCCTCGTGTCAAAATAATCGCAAATTTTTTTGTTGAAGTGATGGAAACTCATGCTTGGCTATGCCTTTGCTACGTAATGCACGTTGTCTTGCGTTTCTCATTTCCTTTTGAGGAAAAAGTAATATGAAACTGGGCGCTAAAAAAGGGCTTCAAAAGAGGAGGGCGTTTAATCGTCTTCATTCCATATTGGGCATCGACGAAGTTATCAAGCATTCTCGTCTACCTATGTCAGCATTTTATAAACCATGTGTTAACCATGCCCAAATGGGATCGACATATATATTTAGCCTTATCGTCTATGTTAATAGTTCGCCTATTCCTAGTCATCATGCCTATTCGAGCTTTGGACATTGTAAAGTATCCAATGGTCATCACTCATAGCGGGAACGGGGTCCAATAAATAAACACACGTGGTTCAAATTTGATCCATCTATGTGAGTAAATTATTATCAGGAACAAAATTACATGATAAAGCATTAACAAGTGCTTCCCTAGGGGGTCAGTTTTTCTGAGAATCCTTATATGTGGTGATAAGCAAAAAAACGAGTTACGCTGTTTGAATTCGATAAGATTGATTTTTATGTCAATTATTAATTAATTTTAATTATGAAATATTGAAAGTTATGCCTTTTTACTACTTAAGGATTTAGTTCTCATAGGGACAATGACATGAGACGGGGTTACGAAAACTTGCCCCAGCCAAGGACAATAAATTTTTCATACCAATAGGTCGAAGTACTGTTACTGAGCTGCTTTTGAAGACTGCAATTTTCAGAAGGAGAACTCGAAAAAGCAAACCGATCGGTGTCAGTGCAGTAAATTTCATGAAAATACTTCAAATTTTCGACTTGTAGGTTGGACACGAAAATGTATGGATAGATTTCAGATTGACAGACAAGCTTAGATCGAATTGAATTGATCGATATTATAAAAGGAGGGCAGATCTTAAGCCTTTCTGGGTGTTATGTAAGTCCACACAAATAACTTTGTGGCACAGGGTATGAAAACAATGGAAACTTAAATCTTGAGACTCAAACCCAAATACCCATACTACATACAACTTTATTTGATGGTAGGAAATGTAAATGGCGGAGATGGACGATGTATTTTTCTTTTACCATTTTTTTTTTTTTTTTTTTTTTTGTGAATTTTGCGAATGCAGACCTAGTCCAATGTCAATTTCGGGAAATCCCAATTAATTTCGGGAACATCCCAAAACTGTTTTTTCCCAACAATGTTTTCATTATAAACAAGCAAGTGGTTTCTAAATGTAACTATTTCAGTCCTTCACACTCGATGGCTTTTCATTGAATACCTTCTTCAGTTTCTTTTCTTGCGAAATGCGAGAATCAAAGGTTATAATTTTCCCTTAAAATTTATCAGATACGTTTGACTAAATTCGTAGATATTTACGTTAGTTTATTTTCAGCCTAAGAAATATTACAGAGAAAACTGATGCATTGTGTCCCATACCAAAACCAATATTTATTTTTTTTATCTAAATGTTTGTAATAATAAAATTAAAATAAATTTGTTCTTGTTAATATTAATCGATTTCCAATTTTTTAAATGAACCTTCAATACCGAATATATTATCGTAATCTTTAATTTTTCCAATACGCAACTTCTCGTCGGTACCCCATTCGGAGCTTTTTTTAAAATAATCCCGATATTGATCCAATTTTTTATCCCATTCTTCAACGATTTCTGGAATGCTGCCATTTTGTCCACCATATTCTTTGGGTAGATATTTCAGAGGCACATGTTGTGTAAGCGATTCCAGTTTATTGTTATGAACAAATAACTGCAACAAAAAATTTAAAAAAAATAGTGTAAAAAATCCAATTGAACACATTTCACTTACTCTCTTCTGCTGTTTAGGAGGTAACATAGGCTTGGCAAGATTGTAAAGTGTATCAAATACTTTCGGAGAACGAAAGACATGATTAGATTTAATACGCATTGGCACCGCTTCGTAACTGTATGTAATCCATTTCTTTGTTAATATCGGAGTCATTTGCAGGACATGGGATAAAGTAACAGCATGAAAATCACCAATCATCACTAAACCATTAACTAGAGCGTAGTCATCCTCTAGCATTACAATATCCTGTAGAACATGACCGACAGCTAAAACTTCTTCCATACTATACTTATCAGCTGGATGTAAACCGCCGTTTAAGATAAGTATACGTGGACCATTATCGTGAAGAGGGATCGGTAAATATAAATACGCACTAAAAGAATGGGTTTTTGAAAATGCTTGCAAAAATAGTGTTTGATTTTTTACCCTGTGCGGAATATTTCTCGAAACCTTTGATTATCCACGTTGGTTTCATTAAAAATTGCCGGGTATTTACTTTTCAAAGTGTAATAAGTATCAATTTTTGCTTTAGCCTTCTCTAGGCTATATTTGCAGCCGCGTAAGAAAGCAATTAAAAATTGATCATCGGTATAAGCATGTAAATGTGGTTGTTGTTCGATCCATGTTCGAAAGTCCTGCAAGTATTCGGCCGTCCGTTTGGGAACTTCATTCAATTCTTCATTAGCTGTTTTTTGTAAATCTTCGCTCAATGGCCGAAGTTGTAACATCGTCAGAAAAAAATGAAATCGCTTCTTATAGATAAAACCAGGGAATAAGTCAAAGAATTGACCCAATTAATACTTAGTTTATAATTTCAGCATTACACGATGCTACTATATAAGTATTATTATATATGTTTTTGCTTTGTTTTCATAAGAGGAAAGCAATGATTAGTTAGTATAGTCACTGGAATTAAATGAAACTCGTTTCTATCTCCTACACAGCTAGAAAGCAACTGATTGAGAAATTTCATTTGATTTTTTAAAGTGAACGCAAAAAATAAAAGATAATTCATTCTTTTCAATTAATTATGACTTGAGTTTTTTTTTTTTTTTTTTTTTAACCTGCAATTAATGTATTAACCAAAATCCACATTTGTACTTGTGTTTCGACTGATAGGGTAAAAAATTATTTGAAAATGTTCGAAATTTATATCCAGTGTGCATGTTCGCATAAGTAGACTGTTCATGAACTTCACTTGCTCTTCCTGTTTCTTATGTTCGGAAGCGAGAATTGGACTTTTCTCTCAAATGGCAAAGATATTGAAAACCAACGAAGATCAGAAATATAACATAAGGGAGTAGTAATGTGCAATTGTCGGATCATCATCTCCTTTGATGTTCATAGACGAACAAATTGCGTTGATTGATATTTAAAGGACCGCCATACAACTGAAAGTATCTACCATTCAGTTAGGATAATTTAATTATGATGATCCCATTAAATTCGCGGGTAAGCTTGGAATTGTATAAAGAAAGCGATTAAAAAGGTATCGCCTTTTTGTGGCCGAAGCTTGCTACCGAGAGAACACAAATCATATTGTAATTGTTAATCAAAATATGACAAGAAATATCGAGTCCTTGATACTAACGTCCTTTTAACTAACGTTGTCTTAACTACTGTGAGTTTCGTGTTACGCGTTATGTAACGTACTCCCGTATTTATTCTCTTCGAATCCCAAGCTCATTACGACGTATACATTTTTGTTGCATAATGTGTGAATAGAAAATAGTTACAACCATGTAGGGACCAAAATCACGCAGATTATGCCATAGTAAGTAAGCACTGTATAAATAAGGACGAAATGGAATAAAAAAATCATATACTCAGTTGGGATACTTCGATTGTGATCAACTAACCGATTGGCAACAGCAATTCGTGTTTGAACAAAAATATAGAGAAGAAGAAGAGGACTTCCGAATTCCTTCTTCTTGACCGAACACCCCGTAAAGTGAAACCAGAAAGTAAGCCCCGTAATCATCCGCTAGGACGGTAAGACGTAGGAGCCAAGTCCGATATAGTTGGGACAGAGAACCGTCCGTGCCGTCCATGGACATGTAACGTTACGATAATATGGGCGCTTTCAGTTTAGGACAGTATAAGTAGTTTAAGTTCGATCTTTAACCGCGACATTCGCGTTGGAGTATCGCATTTTTAATAAAGGAGCTGTATTGTCGGCATTAGACTTTCCTCTTATTAAAGTAAGGAATAGAAACCACCAAAGTAAGGACGTCTGGAATAGCCGCTGAGACTACCCCAGTACGTTTATCCAGTTGAGAATTTCCCCCTAAATTAAAAAGGGGGAAAATATCCAGCTTCACAAGCATTATAGCCGGGCGTGGCCCACCATTAAATACCCTTCGTACCATTATTTGCGTGACAAAATGCCAAAAATGATGAATTAATTCATTGTTGCAATGTAAATGTGTATTATTTATGGTAATCCTTCCACGGGAGGGTGTCCAAATGTGAGCTCAGGTAGTGAAATGATTTTCCTTATTAACGATTTAACTTTTCCGCATTTACATTCTTCGTAAAATACTAACAATTAGAATTTTGCCATATAAAGGCTTATTTCTCATGAGACCTAGAGAGGCTGGAGTTCGCGAAATAGATCTATTTTCTCTAAATTTCGTATAGTCAACTTTTTTGTTACGAAATGGTTACGGACCTACTTTTACAATAAAATATTAAACATTCGATCTTTTTGTCATCTAAAGACTTACTTTCCATGGTATACCTTTTATGTGGTCGTCGATTAAAATGGCAAGTAAGAAAATTATATTCGGCCGAGGCCGAATCTCGCATACTCACCACTATGCTTTTCGCATTCTACTCTCCAAGTTCTTTTATTTGATACCCATATCGCTGGTGTTATTAAGAAAAAGTTAGCCGCGGTGGCTACCAGACCCTTTTTAAAATTAACCCCTTTTCAGGCAGATAATATATCTTCAGTTGAGGAGTGTACAAAATAGTTTTAAACATTATGTCTTGTTTGCCTTATGATAAATAAGTATAAAAACTTGAAAAAGTGAAAAGAATAAAATTTAATTACCTGTAACTTCGTGTGAGCATGGCAGATGCTTTCCATTTTTGCACGTAGGGGGTAGAGTATTTCGTAAAATAAATGTGGTAAATTTATGCCTTCTAAGTTTAGTAATTTGCGAGTAATGAGCAAAAATTCCAAAAATTTTTGTGAAAAAAAAACGGAATTGCGTTCAGTTTACGCTCCATTGCGCATTTCTGCTCTGAGGATTTTGGTTTTCTACTAAATTTGAAGTCGATATATCTTGTTCAGCAGAATGTCAACAGAACACACCGCATAGACGGCCAAACATAGCTTAATCAATTCAGAATTCCACGCTGATGAAGAATATCTATACTTTACAGCGTTTCTGAAGCTTTTTTTGGATGTTGCATACAATATGGAAAAAATCAAAATGAGTATACCCCCATCTTACAGTGGTGGGTATAAGAAGAAAAAAATAGATGCAGATAGTAACGAATTGTGCAAAGGTTCAAAAACTGATCCAAATTTTTCATATTATTCGCAAATTTTTTAGAATCAATCTAGGAAGGAAACTATTACTCTGCTATAATCGAAACCCTGAAAATTGCATTTTCGACATTCGTCATTCAGAAGCTTATGGTGATGCTTTTCCATCATATCCCAATTATCGGTTTCGATCGATCGATTGAGAAAATTCTCCCGAATCGTTCGATATAATGAAAAGCGAGTCTGTTTTAAGTCCTTGTGACGGTTACATATAACTTAAAATGCTCTGCACAAGCGATTTAGAATAAAATTATTACAACTAAATATGTAGATTCTCCAACATTTTGCTTCAAATTGAGTATACGAGAATCTTAGGGTTTTTGTGGATCTCTTATCAACAACAGTATTAACACTGTTACTTACTAGCCATTTGCATGCTTGCTCTTTCATTCTCATTACTTGTATGGGCAAAAATCCTGTTAATAGTTTCCAAACCAGAAGTTTCTGTGTTTTTAAGTGAATGTGCGCTATGGTATACATAAAAGTGGGTATGTACTAGCAATAGATATGTAGAAAATATGAGTTCTTCTTTTATTATTTATTTCGTATTGAAGAATTCTAAAATTTGTTTCAATAAATTTCAATGCGAATAAATCTAAAGAAATATGGACAAATTCGAGAATATTCTATATTCGATAATTCTCAAACATATTTTACAACACAATAACTGATGTGTAAGATGAGAAGGTAAACAAATATGGCATATATCTGTACAAACAAATCAAATTAATAAATCTACAAATAATATGTCAATTATAATAATTATAATATGAAAGGAAACAAATTCTACCTGTTCACTCTTCGTACATACATACGTACATATGTGTATAAATGTGTATAAATGTGTAGATATTCGAATGTTTAATGGGATTTGACGTCATATCAAGAAACTATTAACAGAATTTTCGCCCATGTAAATAATAGGAACGAGAGAGCAAACATACAAACGGCTTGTAATAAACAGGGCTTAGCACTGTTATTGATAACGGATACATAAAAAGTCTCTAGAATTCTCTTAATCTCAATTTTGAACAGAATGTTGGGATATCTAAGTGTGCATATCGTTGTCTCTGATTGCAAATATGTTTACATTGTAAGAAAACGTGAGACAAGTAAGAAGTAAATTAAAACACCTCAACACCACAACTACTAAAGCTAGTATATTAGATTTCTTGGTCATTTCCTTGCTCTTCTATGCATAACGTGGCGCTCAATAAAAATATGTATACATTTTCAATTAACGTGAGATTCTGAATCTGTTTAGTATTATTCCTTTGTCTTTCGGTTGACCGATACTATTCGAAGCATTACAGTCATGTGCTAGGGCACCTCATAAAATTTGAAAATGGACCCGATCCGCTGGCAATCATGCCACACAGTAAAAAAGAAAATGACAAAAAATGACATAATAAGTTTGAATTTGTTATCAATGTATTTTTATTTGATGACCTTGGATCAAGTTTGAAAATGCTCGGGATAAGCTACCTGTTAAATCCACAGAAGGAACAAGAATGTGATTATCGAAAATAGAAATACTTTCTTGAACCAATCAAGAGCCCTAAAGAAAATTGATAAACATTTTCAGGTACATTCTATGAGTAATCGTAAAGGTCAATGCTCGTTTACTCGTTCGTTAGCCTAGAGGGTGAAATTTATTAATTTTTTTTTTCTTTTTTTGTAAGGGAAAGATGATGGATATAGAGTATTCCTATCAAAAGTTGGATCTTCATATTGAACGCATGCTAGTAGTGTTGACACTTAAGAATGTCGGAACTTCATTATTAGTTATATGATTATTTTATCATTTCGTGTATCGCATCGATGGTTGCTAGCACAACAGCCGATCGTCAGAGATCTTTAAGACAGCATTTTCAACATTTCTAAAAAAAAATCACTACATAATAATATTTCCGCGTACTAAATTGATGTGAAAGTTTTGGATCCGGTCTGCAAGTATGTTTTGAACCTTTTTCCGTCATTCCTATGAAAAAGAAGTGGCCTGCAGATCCGCACTTCATATATGAATTCTCACGAAAAGTGAACTACGCAGTACTACGTAAACTCTCCATCTATTCGTTTGCCCAACTATGTGCAGTAGTAGTATCTGCGATAAATACTCTCCTATTCGCGAAAATTAAGACATCGCCTACAAATTTCCAAACCTTAACGGATCAAAGTACACGCCTATAACGTCCGTACGCCTATGCAACAAAAACTGTCAGCTTATTTGCTTACCGTGTTTTTTTTTTGTTTGTAATGTACAAAATAGAAGAAATCACCCGCCCCCGTCCTACGTTATAGGGTGTACCAATTTATTTCTTTTCAACGGCGATGTACATAAAAGATTCGATCACGACCGAGTATATATTTTCTTACTTGGTTTTCTATTATTATACTTAATTTTTCGTTAGCGTTTCTCTTTTTTCTTTTTTTACACCTTATTTATTGTCATCTATGCTAAGCCACTCACGTTAATGCACTTCTTCTTCTTTTTCCGCCTTGATGTGTGTGTATTTTTTCCTACTACTTTAACAGGGTTATGCACAAATTTCCAAGAAATTTCATTTTCTCAATATAATAATAGACACGAGTTATCGTTTCTTTAATAAATTTCACAAATCATTTCATTTCTTAATGCTTAAATGGCAAGATTCCTTTCTGCCGAGAAATCTAAAAAATCTTTCTTTGCTAATCAACAAATACACAACCAACTCTGGTAGTCACGTTCCAGTGCTTCTATTTATTATTCGTGTAATGTATACAAAGTTTAAAAGAAATCCATAACACCTTAGACTAAGTTAGTTATTAATTAACGTCAAGAGGTCACGCCGCCAAGAAGTTGAAGGTAATTTTATCAAATTCCTTTACCAAACATTTGATGTCGAGTAAACTGGATAGAGTAAATTCAATAGTTGTTAATTATTGGCTTGAGTAACGAGTAGAATTTTTACGGTCCTTGATAAACTATGCATTTCTCTTACTATCAAATGAAAAATTCTGGGATAGTAAAGTAAATATAGAGTGACATTTTCGAACTACGATTGAGTCCACTTGATATTGGAAAACATAAATGGGGTGCAGATTTATTTATTTTAAAGATCTATTGGCCAGACTTATGTAGTTTTACATATAGAAAAGAAAACCGAAAAAAATTCCTTTTTTTTTTTTATTATTATTATTATTATTATTAATTTCGCCAGAGAAATAAATTCTAAGACTAAACTCTTAAAAGCACTAGCATCTAAGGCTATCGGCTTTTTATTAAAAACTTTACCGCACTTGAGATTCGAACCCACGACCATTGACTTGCTAGTCGAGATTCCTCCCCTTCGGCTACTCAGGCGGGTTTTTTTTTTTTATTTTTATTTTTATTTTTTTTTTATTTATTTATTTTTTTTTTTACTTTTTCATTTTTATTTTTATTTATTTTTTTTTAAATCATTAGTAATATATGTAATGTGTTGTTCTGTTATTAATATAAATAACAAAAGTTAAGCATTTTGTAACTTGTCCGCAGACAAGTAAGAAGACTGTTTTCGGTTGTGACCGAATCTTTCATACCCATCGGTGTTATCTTAGATGAATTAAATTGCGCACAAGAGAATGTTTACGATTGACACTACTACGCATATGGGCAGACGGACATGTGGACAAACGAACGGGCGTTCGGCCACGAAATCATATTATTTATGGAGTTTTTGAAGCTTCTTTCCGCGTGCAGAGGAAATTAATGTTTGATGTAATGGTAGGATAGGCGCGATTAATTTTTTCCATATTTGTATAGGTACTACAGAATCGTGCACAGAATACCCGCCCAATTTTTTGTACATTTATCTGCTGTAGTCTACGAGTAATGAGACAAAAAACTATTTTTTATTGTTTTTCCTCAGTTTACTTGGCATTGTAGGGGTGCTCTTCGACCGATTTGCCCCTATTTTAATATCAAGCTGCGTGCAAGAGGCACAAATGTTTCCGCAAATTTGAAGCTGATAGCTTTGTTTCTGCAGCCAGTTTACAACGGGCATTGCACAGACGGACAGACACGCAGACGGACTTGTTTAAACCAATTAAGAATGTGCTGGCTGATCAAGCGTATATGTACTTTGCAGCGTCTCTGAAGCTTCTTTCTGGTCGTTGCAAGCGTTTTAAAAAAAATCAATGTATCCCTTATCCTTGCTTAGTGGGTATAAAAACTTATTCGTAATTTGATTAAATTCCTTACTTAAACTTTGACGCCTTCTAATTTACATTATTTTCCATTTTTTCATCTTCGGCTTTTGTTCATATAAATACGATAGTTATCTACAAGCATTATATGAATGGGGGTGGGGATATGAATTGCTTGTAGCTCGAGACTTACAGTAATTTGATGTTAGTGCGTAAGGAAACGGGGCTTACTTTAACAAAACAGCAGTATTAGTCCCCCTTATTATGTATTAACTTGTTGTTCTAAGTTTTCATAAGAGTTGTACGAATGGTTTCTATTGGACTGCAAAAGGAAGTAAGTAAGGATTTGACACAATGGTCGTAGAGTCAGTAATTTTCGTGATCTTTCAGTTTAAACAAACAAAGAATTTATTTGTATTGTTTTCATTACACCGAAAACTCCTTTTAGTGTAGAGCATTTTTGTTAAAGCCTTATGCACAATTTTATGCATGTATGTTAAGTGTAAATGCAATTTACTTGAATTCGTTAGAAACCCATCTCTACAGTTTGAGAAACACCATTTACCGTTTAGTTTTAATAAACATTTTTATAGGCTTAATTTTTATTTTCATAATTACAAACATAATATAAAACACACAAAATCGAATGTGACTCTTTTAACAAACAGTATTTAAGAGCAATTCGAATAATCGCCATTGTACTCAAAGAGCAGATTAATTAAAAGAGCTTAAGAGAGAACATAAGAATAATTGCAAAATTGCATAGATAAGAATGTTATTAGTTTATTCAGGAAATAAATAGGAAAGCCTTGGAGAGCACCTTGGCTTTGCATACTGTGTGAGAGTATTACTTGCTTACGCTTCGAACCATTTTCACCATGAACTTTGAAGCGATGTTAATTAGTATCTGAATAATATCTTATATTAATATCTGCTGCGACGCGCTGCTTAACGGATTAATTGAATTTTCTAATTGTTGTAAACCCCGGTAATACCGCCCCTTTTGCAAAGTTGATGCGCGAAATTGGACTCTGAAGGAAATTTCGTATAAACAACAATAAGTTAATTGTAAGTTAATATCTGTTTCTCGACTTACTTTAGGCGTAAAGTTAATCAACTTCTAATTTTTTAAATGAACCTTCACTACCAAACATATTATCGTAATCCTTAATTTTTCCAATACGTAACTTCTCGTCGGTACCCCATTCGGCGCTCTTTTTAAAATAATCCCGATATTGATCTAATTTTTTATCCCATACATCAATGATTTCTGGAATGGTGCCATTTTCTCCACCATATTCTTTGGGTAGATATTTCAGAGGCACATGTTGTGTAAGCGATTCCAATTTATTGTTATGGGCAAATAGCTGCAACAAGGTTGAAAAATAATGTAAAAAATCCAATTAAAAACATTTCGCTTACTCTCTTCTGCTGCTTAAGCGGTAACATAGGTCTGCCAATATTGTAAAGTGTATCAAATACTTTGGGTGCAAAAGCGATATGAGTAGATTTAACACGCATCGGCATTGCCTCATAGTTATATGTAACCCATTTCCTTATAAGTATTGGTGTGTTTTGCAGAACATGAGCTAAAGTGAACTCTCTAAAATCGCCAACCATTACAAGGCCATTGATTACGGCATAGTCATCCTCTAACATCAAAATGTCTTGCAAAACGTGAAAGACAGCCCAGACATCTTCCACCTTATATTTCTCGGCTGGAGGTAGACCATTACGAAAGAGAAGGATACGTGGCCCATTATCGTGTAAAGGCGTAGGTAGATATAAAAACGTTCTGAAACGAATTATTATTTTCTTTTAAATCTTACCACATACGATACGATATTGATTTTGTTAGCCTTTTTACCCCATACGGACTACTTCACGAAATCTTTCATTGTCTACATTAGTTTCAGTAAACATTGTAGGAAATTTACTTTTCAAAGTATAATAGGTATCAAATTTCCCTTTGGCCTTCTCTAGGCTATATTTGCATCCGCGCAAGAAAGCAATTAAAAATTGATCCTCGGTATTGGCACGTAAATGTGATTGTTGTTGGATCCATGTCCTGAATGCGTTTAATTCCTCGGGAATACGTTTAGGCACTTCATTCAGCTCTTCGTTAGCCTTCGTTTGTAAATCTTCGTTTAATGGTCGTATTTGTAACATGTTTAAGGAAAACTAATAAAACCGTTTAGTTTATAAATGAAAATTTTGCTAATTGAACTATCCAAACTTGGGAATATATATATATAATGTCTGTCTAATAGATAAATGTTATTCATTAACACTTTCATTAAAATGGAAATTTTATATTGTTATACGTTTTAATTGTTTCTTATTTTATTATTCATGTATCAAATGTAATGCGTTCTGTTCTCTTGAAAAGCTTAATAGTAACTAATTTTAAATTTTCATTCAATCATTCACTGGAATGTCATAAAATTGATAATACATTTGTTTTTAAACCGTTAGCGCACGAACTTTAAGTATATATTTGTAGTTTATACGCCAATATTCTAATAAACTTTTATATTCTAATACACTTTTTATGTTGATCGCTTCTTGGTTACGTGTAAGCACTAAAGAAGACACAGGCCCTTACTCTCATTGCTATCACCAAGTTCTTAGTACCTAAGTGCAAAGGGAATAAATTCAAACCTGGACAAATTTATTTCCTCTAACAAATTTTAGCGAACTTACGATAAATCCACGGATTCAGCAATTAAAGCGTCTTTTGGTAATTGCCACAATTAGGAAATTTTCTTCGGGCTTGTAAAGATAAACAAGCAAAAAGATTGTAGTGGGCCAATGCCTGCCCTCATATGCCATATAACACCCTACTATTTATTATTCATACACTGATTTTTCTATTAATATGGTCTTATATGAAAGTGGACCGATCCAAAGCATTTTCAATAGGATGCGTCCTTGGGCTGAAACCTGTCTATGTACCAAATGTCATTATAATATTTCAAAAATTGCGGTCGATAGCTTGATCAGATTATCAGTTATTTCGTTCGTGTGGTGATTCGCCTTAGATCCAGATGTAATCCCGAATTAGCAGATTGCCCAATTAATGTCCATTCGTCGCTATAATTATTTAAAATCAACTGAGGATCATCAAGTATTTTTTACTTTTGTTTATCAGGAACGTCAGCAGGAGGGGGATCGGCTTTGCAAAGCACAAATAGAATGAGCTCTTCCGGAAAACATTTGTTCTCTTTAATTTTTTTGCACAAGGGGCGTTAGTGCATTAATGTTCTCAATAAACGTGAACGTGGTCCCAGTTCGATCTTTTGGACATTGCGGAGGTTTTCGTGATAAGTTTGCATAAATTTTCTGACTAAAATATTCCACACAACAGCGGTGTCGTGCGAAGGATGTCAAAATTACTAATAAGAGCGTAAGAGGTTTTTACTTCCTACGCTCTAAACTCATAGAGTGATCTTCTTGACTTTGTGGAGCTTTTTGTGATACGTCTGCCTCGCAAATCGACTAAAATACTAAACATCGTAGATTATCTTTCTACTCCATTTTCAATGCTCGGAGGTCGACATTTTCTTTTGAAACAGAAAAAAACACTTTAAACAAATTCTTAATACGCACATTAAGGCATTCCTATGAAATTGTATTCGTCTCATAGTTCTTAACGTCCTTTATGTCAGATCAAAGATTGAAGTAAGATTTTGCCAAAGAATGTCTTTATAATGCATCTTGTTAGACTATAATTTTGCATATTAAGCTCACTGTATGTTAAACGGTAACAATAATTTTTGTTTTTGTAAACATAACGCATGACTTAGTTTTTGATGTGTGTTTAAATAATTTATTGTCATTTAATTTTTATAATCGCTTTATATTTCAAGGTCGAAAAATTGTTGAATAAATAAAAGTTACCTTTGGGGTTTATTTATTTTTTTATTTAATAATTCAAAAGAATCAATTAGAGCTTAAATGTAGATTTTTCGCAAACTTGCATCAAATTTGAACAGTACTTTACAAAACTCTCATTTAACCAATTATTCACAGTCAATACTTTTTCACATTGCGTAAATTAGAGTGAAGTGATAAATGTTTATTATGGGGAGTAACGCGAGACCGGCGAAAAGTGTTTGGGATTAGTTGAATGTGATCGTGCAAAGTTTCGGGTTTGTTACAAAGATCATTAGAGTAGTCCTTAACTGTTGCGCCTTTAGAAATGATCATCTTGAATCGATTAGCACTAGGAAATATCATTAAAGGTTAATGGAGTTTTTCACTCCAAAGTCCTTAAGGGTACATCATTAGATCGAACTTGTTCTTTTATCAGGCTATTTATTATCGTTTTGACGATTTTTCCTGTGCCTTTTCTGACTAGAATTGTTACTATAATCCTGATTATAAATCTCCAAGTTGAGTATTAGCGAATGTCGGATTCCGTTTGCAAGTATGACATCAATCTGGTATTATTAATTTGAGCGACAAGTCGTTTGTGTGCCTTCAGGCTTAATCTAAGTGGGCATTTATTGTAGAGGTCTTTCCAATAATATGAATAGAAATGTTATGAAATTTAATAAAAAAAAGTTCCATTAAAAAATTGTTGTTCCAATGAATTCATTAAATCAAACAATGCGGATAATAATTGCAAAGTTCTGGCAGTTTTCTACTGGTTAAGTAGAGACTGCAATGTCAATAAGGCCATGCCTTTTAAGAATAACTGGATTTTTATAAGGTTTACCTTTTATCCTAGGGGTTTTATAATCCGTCTTACAGCAGTATCCGAAGTTGAAGACCGATTGCTACCTTATCGTAATTTCGTATCATTTACTAACATTCTGAACGGATAATTCCATTATTTTAGAGCAATTCGTACAGGTGAGTTGTGCAGAGATTATGAAGATCTAATAATATTATCTCCTAAGCTTTCTTTTATTTAGTTACTTACCCCTTCTTTCAAAGGCGTTGGCTAGGGACATCTTAACTGATCGATCGATTTGTGAATTTCGCTTAGGGCATTTGTTGCGAAAGTCAATTTTTTTTGTTGGGATCTGAAAATAGGTTTGGACAGCTCTCGGCTCTGGTAACCGTGAAGTGCCTAATTTAACATTGTCGATAATGTATGGGTTGAACTAGGTTCCGCTATGTTTCTCCATCCTGCTTCTGCTCGCACGTTATGTTGAAAGACCTCTGTTGTTTGCAGTTGCTGCGAAGATGCACGCTTCTGTGCGTATGTGTGCTATTCGCTCAGACGGTTTGCATAATTTATGTGTTTGGCCTGGATGCTCCTCTCTATATCCATTGATTCATTGCGTCGATGCGATGTTGGGGTCAATGCCGGTTGATATTAAAATCGCCGATATTGAAGGTTCTGTTAAAATATTGGCTGGTACGTCCTTAGAAGCTCCTTGTAGCTTGGCTATTATTGGCCTGGTTCACAGGTTCGGAAGGAGTATGCCGTAATGCTTGCGCAAATCCGTTGTCTCGCTTATGGTAAGTAAACGAGGTAAGACGCCTGCAAGTCCTCTGAGGATTGCGTTGAATGTTTTATACTGAAATGCTTTTCTAATGACTCGATACCTTAAGGGAAAGTTTATTTAAGATTAGAGAACGTTGCTGGTAAATAACTTGAGAGAATTGCTAAACGCTCTTCTTCGCTTGAAAGAGTGTTGTCATCTGCTAGGTTAGCCTTTCTAGATCCCTCTTGTCAGCATAAAGTATTGTTAGGCACATTGGTATATTGTTCCATTTTAGAGAGGTATTCTAGGATTCAAGAACTATGTCCACTGGTATTATTTAGTTACTTAGTTTCTTAACACCGTAATATTTACAGTTACCTTTCAAAGGGTTATAAATTCCTAATATCCTAATTAAGCATTTCTTACATGAATTAAGTTCTTCTGGTTTTCCATAAAATTCGCTACGACTATTGACTGCGTATGGGATTGAGTTGGGTTCGTTTAGGTTGATTCAACAGAAAGTTGGACAGGGAATATTGGATCAGTGTCATCTTCTAATTCGTCTTTGCATTATTTTTAATTATTCCCTGAACTACACGTCTTAAAAAGTGTCTTATCTGATCTTATAAAAATTCCCGGAAGAATTTAAGATTTCAAAATTCGGGCTTTTTGGGGTTGCTTAGTAAACTTGGGAGTTTAAAATTTTAAAATTTGCTAAGAATGTTTGGCTTTAGTTTTAGTATAATATTAATTTAATTCTTGTCCAGTTAACTTTAAATTTCTACTCCTTTCTTCTACTCTTTCCTTTCTTATCTATTAACCCTACTTTTTATTTCAATTGTTACGCCCACCACTAGAAGATGGGGGCATACTCATTTTGTTGTTTTCCACAATGCATATAACACTCAAAAGGAAGCTTCAGAGACTCTACAAAGTAAATACATTTTTGATCAGCGTGAAGTTCTGAGTTAGTTCAACCATGTCTGTCCAGCTGTGCTGTTAGCACTCTCCTGATCGCAAAAATGGAAAAGTCAAATTTTAAATGTGGTAGGCACCTTGAGATGGGAATGGGCCAAATCGGTCAGAGCAGCAGCGCGCAATGGAGTGTAAAATGAACGCGATTCCGTTTTAAATTTTCTTTTTTTCACTTTTTTTAAGGTGCTCTGCTTATTTATCACAAGGCAAACGAGACAGAATACTTAAAAGTATTTTGCACACTCGTTGGTTAATTTTAAAATGAATATGGTAGACATCGCTACAAATTTTTTCTTAATAATACCAGCGACATGGGTACCAAACAAAAAAACTTGGAGAGTCGAAGGCGAAAAACATGGCGGTGGGTATACGAGATTAGTTATATAACTTTTCTATTTGTTATTCCTAAATTCACTCTTATTGTATGTTTCCCTTAAGGTTGTTTCTTTTGCTTTTTCCTTTAGCTTTACTTTATTTTTCTCTATTCTTTTGATTAATTTTTTTTTTTTTTTTCGTTCTCTTTTGTTTTCTATAATGTTTTGTTTCATTATTTTAAATTTATTATAGTGATGTAGTATTATCGCTCCATCTTACCTCTTTATTTGCTTTCATGTATTGTTTATTAATAAATAACACTGGCATAAGCATTTCTTTGAATTACATTATTTTCATACTATTTTTAATAACACTAGCGTAAGCACTTATTAGTGATCGAATTTAAATTACGTTATTCTCATTCTATTAACAATACTAGCGTAAGCATTTTAATTGAATTATTTCCATTTTACTATCAAGTTAATAATTTTTCCTATATGCAAAAAGCATTCAAATAAAAAAAATCAATCAAAAATATGAGCTTAAGTTGAAGTCTTCAATTCCTAAAATCTTTGGAAGTTGAACGTGCACAAAGTGATTCTAGCGAAACCTAATTT